TGAGTGTGTGTGTGTGTGTGTGTGTGTGTGTGAGAGGAAGGGACAGTGCACAAGACACAACTCTGGGAGGGAAGGGCGGTGGTGTACCATCCAGGAGGGGCTATGGCCGCTGGTATCGATGTGCGGGGCGATTGGCAGCCCGGAAGGCCGGGGCCCCACCACTCCGGCTGCACCCCCTGCTCCTCTGGAGCAGGGCGTCAGGTGTTCCTGTACACACTCGCTGTTCTGCTACCCTGACTCTTACAACTCCCTGCCACTGCAGGGACATCCCAGTGAACAACGGCGGCATCGCTTGAGGGGCTAGGCCGCGTGTTTTTCAGAGGTCACCCAGCATCCCCATCCAGGAGCCGGCCGGCTCGCCACTACCGGGCGGAGGGCCGAGACTCTGCTGTGATGCTTCCAAAACCCATGTCACACCCCCTTCCTTGTGCTAATCAACTTCCTTCGTCAGGGAGCACGGCACAGCTAGATCGGAGGTCAGGCATGGGGTAGAGGGGCGGCACTGAACGAGCAGTCGCAGCTCGTCACAGCTCTGTAGGGGTAGAAGTAGTATAGTCATGGCAGAATTCTGGTTTCGGGCGGTGCGATACCGCGTCGCAAGCCGTGCGGTGATCGGTCAGGAAGCAACATGAAGGGGAGATGATTGACGCGGGTGCCGGGGAGGGCAGGAGGGTTCGACGAGTGGCGAGTGCAAATCAGATCTCACCACGCGAACCCCTTCACACGGTAACGTCACCGACTCGATAATACTCCGGAAGGCGCCACAGTAAACCCCTTATCGACTAAACATCCACATTAACATCCCATAGAAGTGCACGTAATCAAGCGCCATCGATCACCTCGTGAAGTCGGGCTGTCGAGAATGCATCTGCCGGCCTTCATGGGCAACTGTTACAGCGGTCGTGCGGGAGCGCCGAAGAGCCCCAAGGCCCGCCCAGCCGCCCGTTTAGCCACAGGCGACATGGTATTTCTTCAAGGTGAGAGTGTAGGAGCAGCATGCGCCTCGTCAGCTGCGGTACGGGGAGGGGAGACGTCACGTGTCGTAAAGGGGTCCAGAGGTCTGCAATGCCCATCGCCGAGGGCGTGGTGTACACTTTGGTGCGTGGTATTAGTACCTTGGCATGTGTCCTGAGGCTTGCGACGCGAGACGCCATCGCTCGCCTGGGCTTGTCGAGCAGATTCCGCTCACGTAGCATTCGCGCCGATTTCGCAGAGGAAGGTGCCAAGGAGCTTTATCTCCTCCGCACACATGACGGCTGGACGGCCTTCAGCCACTGCGGCTTCGTGGTGAGCTGGGGTGCACTCTCACATATGTCACGGCGTACTTGCTCAGCCTACTTGTCTCAGCCACTAGAGTGCGGTTCTGAACATCATGCCCGTCCTGCATTCTCTGTCAGATGCGCCGAGGATCTGGCGCTGCAGGCGTGCTGTTCTGTCACGCAGACCTTGTGTCTGGCCCAGACGGTGTGCGACGCGTCGCAGCAGAACCGCTGGCAGAGCTCCTGGCAAGCGGTGGGTACCCCCTTGTCTGGGACTCCAGGCTCTTGCACACCTCTCCTTCTCGAATGGGCGTGGGAGTGGCGATGACCATGCACATGCTCGTCCGCAGCATCATTAGTGTGGGTGTTGTCTTAACATTCATCCCCCGGGCCTCAAGTTCCCCCCACTCCTCTCACCTCCTGCAGGTCACTTCACCCAAGCCGTGGCCCGCCAGCTGCGTGTCACCCTCACCCCCGACCAGCGCGACCTGTTGAGCGAGTTCGTGAGCCTGAACCTGGGCAAGCGCAGCGTCACCACCACCGCCTCCGTGTGCATGACTGCCGGCAGCCCCCTCATCCCGCGCGGCACTGAGAGGTGGGGCAGTGCAATGCATCGTGGGATGGGAAAGGGAGTTGGTACATTTGCTGACTGTGGCGTGAGGTATGCCCATCGGAGCCACTAATTCCCAGTGGGAGGAATCTACAGTCAACATTTGAGATCCAACCCCCCCTCCCCCGTCACCATCGTCACAGACTGCTGTGTAGCGAGTTTGTGGCGCTGATGCTGCACCTCCTGGGCCTGGCGGAGCCAGACATGCCGGCATCCTTCACCTACATCGCCACGGCGGCTTCCGGGCAGCTGCTGCACCCGCCGGTGCGGCTGGACCAGGGGCTGGGGGGCTCACCGCGCAGCCCACACCGCCGGATGGACTCTGTCAGGAGGCAGAGCACGGGGGCGATGCCGCCCTCCCTCGTCGAGGCGCACCGGGGCGTAGAGGTCGCGGCCGCCACCTGAAGCTCGCCCGAGTGCGAGCGAGTTTTGCGGCATGGGACGGCAGGGTAGGTCCCAGCCCTGTACCCGCTGCGCCCCTCGCACATAGCACCCACCGCGTAGTATCTGCTACCTTGGTAGCGCCCTGGAATAAGCACGCGTGGCAGTGGTATGCCCCAGACGTGCGCTCCTGAAGTTTTGCCCCTTGTTTTGCACTTGGTACCCGCTACGTGGGATGCCCTTTCTTTCATTGCCCTTACCCTGTGCCTCTACCCAAAACTGCACAATCCCTCCTTTGTTGTACAAAGCAATGCATCAGTCTCGCAGGCAGGGGCGTATGACGCTGGAGATGAGGAGGACGGCAAACACCCCCACCTCTGTCCACATGAGGGCCACCGTGGTCCGTCGCCACCCATCTTCTGGCAGGTCGCTGTCGTTGCTGTTCTTGGTGACGATGGAGGATGCAATGATCCACCTGTGCGGAGTGGTGGCACGATGATATGTGTGGCAAGAAGGCAAGGGGTTAGCAAGGAGTTTTGGGCCCATGCGCAAGCCAAGAAGTACGGGCCAAGGCGCCGCACTCACCAGGCAGTGCCAGCAGCGGCAAAGATGGTGTCCAGGATGGCGCCCAGGCCGCAGAGGTGGCATGTACAGCACTGGACCAGGGAGATGACGAAGGAGACGAGCACTGACACTCCTACCACAGCAAACCTGTTTGGATGTATACGGTGGGAGAAAGGGGTTGTTAGCCGGGTGACTAGGGAATGGAGAATGCAGTGGAAGGGCACAAATATCTCATGCAATATGACTCACACATAAACGCAGAGGTTTTCGTTGTTGTAGTCTTCGCCAAGGAGGCATGTGGAGGTGACGGTGGGGTCCTCCCCATCGCCTGAGACGTCCACCCGGAACAGCTTGATGCCGACAATGACAGCGATGGCCACGGCGAGTGCGATCTGTGCGACACAAACACGTGAGCAAGAATCAGGAGGCAAACTCAGGCGCGGGTGGGTTCACAGCACAAGGGAACCTGGTTCCCACACACCTGCACGAACGCGGCGACATGGTGAACGATGGTGCACCCCACGCCCATGCTTGATGTCGCAAGCACGTTCTGCAAACACTACAAATGGTACCTCTTGTTCTCAAATAGAAAATGCGAGAAGGATGGATTGTGTTCCTAGGATGGTATGCTTTCAAACGCGGCAAATGTCGGCGAGATTCCGGGTCCTGCCGGATGGGAGCTAGCTATAGAACCGTACGGCATGACACATCGGTTTCGAAGCAATTCACCCTCACGCCAGTGCAGGGTCTCATGTTGCTTTATAACTTAATCTACTATGATATGGGGTTCGGCCACTGTGCTCATCACCCGTGTTGTGGGGAGAGATGGGAAGGCTTCCTTGCCATGCTGCTGGGCATGATGGCAGCCAGCCCCGGCCACTAATCTGCCCGGAACGCTCCCCTCTGAACACCTCGGCTGGGATGAAGTCGCGACTTCAAGTTAGTCAGAGTCAACATAATAACCGAGGAGAGAAATCCAGGAATGGCTTGACCGCCCGATCGATCCTGCATCCTCCTCATGCAAGGGGTGTCCTGTTTCCAGAGGCTGGTGCCCTGCCCATGCCGAACCGTCTTCCAGCCGATCCATACCAAGAGTCTCAGGAAACCTCAGGTCGGCTTGGTGAGGCGAGCTGTCCCCCCAACCAAGCGGGAAGTGGACGCCTCCGAGACGGCCACTAAAGACGGGCGACCAGATGAGGCCATGATGCCCGCCCTGCAGGGCGAGGATGCAGCGGCATTCAGCCTGGAGGATCAGAGCCTTTCCTCATGGGTCAAATTTTCCGTGCTGTTGGCAGGCGTCTTCGCCCTGCTCTACCCCGTGAGAGGGGTGGGAACGGGGGGGAGTGGATGGATTTGGGTGCCCCCCCTCTGAGGGTTGCCTCCTGGATGCCATGGGTGACTATTCTGACGACTGCCGGCTCGGAGGAGGATGGACCCTGCAACCCAGGCCGGACTCTAGCACGTCATCCCCCTCACACCCACCAACAGATCTGGATCTCCCCGGATACGGGGCTGGGCAAGGAACTGGCTGCCCTTCTGAGCTCGGTGGGGTCCTCCTCCGAGGTCACCATGGTCCTCATCCTGACCCTGTTTGGCGTGGTGCACAGCGGTCTGGCTGCCCTGCGACCACAAGGTGAGCTGGAGCTTTCGGCAGTGGTGGGGAGGCGCGGGGTGTGGACTCGGCAGAGTGCCACCCCTGGGGTGAAGGAGGGCCTGGCTGGCGGCGGGGTGGGGAGTCACGGGCTTTGATGGTCGCAGGAGCGTGTCGTGGATTGTCCTATTGCCAGCAGCTGTCTCAGGCGCCGCTTCGTCCGCAAGACCACTTTGGAGCTGATGATCCATGACGGTCCCAGAATCCGCTGGCACACTCGCACCACCGGCATCAATCCCGCCACCACACACACACAGGTGAAGCGCTGATCGGCGCCCGGGCCTTCAGGGTGGTCTTCGCCTCCCTCAGCCTGCCGTTGGCAGGCCTGGCGGTAATGTACTTCATCAATCATCGTTACGACGGCGTCGCGCTCTGGAACATCAGGCGCGTTTGTGTTCTGTGGGGCATGTTGGGCTTGAAGGGTTGTGCTGGCGGGGCATGTCCCTTAGATGCCAGGGTCAAGGCACATGCATCTCGGTTCTGCATGCCCCTCAGCGTGTCGACTCCCTTGCCCACCCACAAGAGTGCCTTTAACCCCCCCCACCCTCCCAAACACGCACGCCACACCATGCCCAGGGGCCTGCCCGGCGTGCACAGCACGGTGTGGGCACTGAGTTTTCTCTCCTTCTACTTCCTCTACCCCTCCACCTTCAACCTGCTGGAGGTGGCGGCGGTGGACGAGCCGCGCCTGCACCTGTGGGAGACCGGCGTGGCGCGCATCACGCGCCACCCGCAGGCCTTTGGCCAGTTCGTGTGGTGCGCCGCGCACGCCGCCTGGGTGGGCTCCTCCTTCATGATGGTCACCACCGCTGCGCTGCTGGGCTACCACGCCTTTGGCTGCTGGCACGGCGACCGCCGGCTGGAGCGGGAGCATGGCGAGGCCTTCCGCGCACTGCGAGACCGCACCAGCGTGGTGCCCTTCCAGGCGGTGTGGGAGGGGCGCCAGCGCCTGCCGCCCGACTACTGGAGGGAGTGGGCGCGCCTGCCCTACCTGGCCATCACCCTGTTCTGCTTCGGGACCTACGCCGCGCACCCTGCCATGCAGCAGGCCGCCTACTGGCTGGGGTGGTAGTGAAGGGGCGGGGGGGGGGGGGACGGGCAGGTGGGACATCAGTTGTTGGGTCTGCGGGGCCTAGTGAGATGCTCCACGGAGGTCATCAGCGCCATTTCAGACACGCGCCTTGCGGCGAGCCTGCAGGGAGCTGGGCTGAAAGCTCTGGACTGGCACGCGAGCCCCTCAGCAATTCCCGCTCATCCCTCCGCATCTCGAGTGTGTATGGTCTCACGCGTTTACTGACCTGTAGAATGCTGTGTTTTGTGAGTCACATCAAGCATGAGCGCTCAGGCCCACCAGGTGAGGGTGTGTGCAAAGCAACGACTCCAGGTGGGCTCAGCTTGGGTCTCCTGCCGCGCAGCGAAATCCAAAGCATGAGCCCCGCCCCTTCTCCCGCCAGCTAGTCCAATGGTGGGGCAAAGTCCAGGCCCTGGATTGCGGCAGGGGCTCCTAGAATCTGTTCCCGCAGGGTCTCCGCCCAGTTCTCGCCGGGACTCGTCTTCAGCCAGGCCTCCACCGCCCTGTGGAGGTGCCATGCATCGATGAGGTGGCTGGATGGCTGGTGGGACATGAGGCGTGTCCAGGAGGCATGGGAAGCATCAGGGTTCCGGGCCTCCGTTCCCACCCTCCAGTGACGCCAGGATGCGCATTGCTTCTTCCCAACAGCCCCTGCATGCCGGCCGACTCCATTCTCAGGACGACTCAATGGCCTGAGCAGTGCCTAGCCCAAACATTTGCACATACTGGCTCCAGATACGGATTGCACCACGTGCTCCACCACCCCCACTCACTCTTGTGCATCCTCGAAGGTGGTGACCCTGGCGCCCAGACACAGCACATTGCTGTGATCGGCACTCCGGGCGCTGACTGCATCTTCCACATCCCGCACCATGGTCGCGTACACCCGCTTGAACTTGTTGGCGACGATGGCTACGCCCTGTGTGCGGAAGAGGTTGAGGCACTTCTTGTGGAGGGGGATAGGTGGCGTCTGTTATTCGATGCACAGCAGCCTCATACCCCAGTTTCAAAACTCTGCCCTCAGACCGAGCTCATACTGCCTATAACAGTTTCTCACTCTGCGCACCTGGCCCCTGGAACTGCACAGGATTGCTCGGTCGGGGAGACCCTTGCCACTGGCCCGGTCGATGGCCTGGCCGGCCTTGTAAGCGGCCTCGTAATAGGTAGGTAAGATGCCAAGGTCCTCAACCTCTACATCATCGGCGTGTTGCTCCTGCATAGCAAGGGCTTGGTGCCAGGCATGCGAGCTTCACATAATGTAATTCTCGATCGTGTAACACGACCCAGATCATCTTAATCACTCGCCTGCAGGTACTCTACGAGTTTCTCGTGAAGTGATCCTCCATATGGCGAGGAGGCCAGGAGGATGCGCAGCTTGGCCTTGCTGGTCTCACTCATACTATCGCTGTGGCCTAGTGAGAATTGCCTGCTATCCGTTGTCGAGCGTCGCGATGTGCCTGTAGGGTTTTCAGTGTAGAGGCCTTTTACCCCCCCCACCCCCCTAAATGCCCACTGTCGGGACCAAGGCGCGATGTGGACGATCCCGAGCAGAGAAAGTGTGAGGGCCTGGAGAACCAAGTCGATCCCAATTCCCTTCCAGTAATACATGATTACCTGGGGAATCCGTGGGCCTTGCGCCTCCCGGGAAAGGCAGGGACACAGAGGGCAGCCGGGACATGGGCACCCAGGTCAACCCGGTCCGGGCCCACAGGTCGCCTCGACTCAACGAGCTGAATGACTCGTGTCTCAAGCACATCCTCGATTACCTGGACCCCTTGCCGGACCGGTTCTCGCTGGCAGTGACATGCAGGGTGCGGCCAAGCTTCCATGGAAAGGGGTGGATGAATGCTCACGGCCCATGCCTGGAGTGGAGCGGGGTGACAGGTGTTCACAGCGGATATCCCTTCCTTCAAGCGGGACCGGATGTCATCTTCATTATGTGCCTATTTTCACGCTTTTTGCCGAGACTTCCTCATCCACTCTCACCCCTCCCCTCTCACCCCCCGCCTCCCCCCTACCCCACTTTCCCCCCCCCAGCGCCTATCATGCATGGCACTGGACAGGCGATCCTGGCTGGTGGTGACCGGGAGACCCGTCCAGCGGCCCCACCCCGACGCGCCAGGGCACACCAGGACCTTCAGCACCCTGGCCGAGGCGGTGCAGGCCAGCCAGCCGGGGCACACCATCCTCTTGCAGGGCGGCCAGCCCCACCGCGTGAGCGGCCAACCCGTCGTGATCAGACACGCGCTGCGCCTGCTGGGCAGCGGCGGCCGTGCGGAAGCTGTGGTCCTGCGCGGCGACCCGGGCCTAGAGACCGTACTGCTCTTCCACTCGCTAGCGCAGCTGCTCAACCTCAGCGTGCACAGCGTGCGCGGCGCCTGTCTCATGCACCTGGCCGGCACGCTGCGGGTCGGGGGCTGCATCCTGGAGAGCTCTGCGGCGGGGCTGCCCCACCTCGTGTCTCAGATCGCTCTGGCGGGGGACGCAGCTGAGAGGCGGAGGCTGCACTTTGACGAGACTCGCCTCCTGGTGAGGGAGTTGGGTTTTGATTCATTGGTACCGCAAGCCAGGACCGAAGGATGACCAGGAAGTCCAGCGAGGTCCCTGCCCGATTCCATCCTTGATGGGCACAGTGTGCATATGAGATGTTTGAATGGGTGCATCTGACCTGATGCGACGTCCAAAGCACCACAGCATGAGGCGACATCCCGCTCATCCTCCACGTGCAGGGTGATTGTGCGCGGCCTGTGGCCACAGGGGGCATGGGGCGAGTGCTGAACGCGCGGGCCATCTACCTGCGGCACCAGACGTATGCCTGGTTCGATGTGCATGAGCTCGGCCAAGAGGCTAGCAGGGCTCACCCTCCCGCCGGCGCGCCCGCCACGGCCAAGGAGAAAAGTACCCTGAAGTCTCCCGTGCAGCAGCCCAAGTGGGCAGCAGCGATCGACCCCGACCGATTGCGGGGTGCTGTGGCCCAGGCAGGGGCGCACGCAGGCCGACGTTCTGGCTCTGCAAGGCCCGACGACATCACGTGGCACAATGAGGCCGATGCTGGACCAGCGCAGACGGCGATCCCTTTCCCAAAGCGCCAGCGGAGCAGCCCAGCTCAGAGCGGCTGGACTGACTGGATGGCATCATAGTATGCTGCCGTGTAACATACATGTATCACCTTGGACCCCTCCTTGCACTCTGCAGCGGTCCCTGTACCCAGTCCTTCCAGTGTGCCACTTGCCATCAATGAGGCACCTGCTTGATTTTCCTCGTAGACCCGCCCTGCTTGTGACATGCTGTGCAAGAGACCAGGTGCACACTTGCATGTCGACGATGTCCACAGTATGCTAGCGGATAGGTTGCTTGGACGTGCTCACAAACGCCAAGAGTGTCAATGAGGCGCACGCTTGGGTTCTGGAGGCGATATATAGGAGAATGACGACCAAATGAGGGCCGCACCCATGCCCACGGCACAGTAGCAGGACACCAGCGCCAGGGGGAGGAAGGGGAGTCGGCTGCCGAGGAGGTACGGCAGGATCCAGCTGGAAGCTGCCTCCACCCCCACCAAGCCCCAGAGGTAGGCGCCAGGAAGGGTGTGCAGCCGGGAAGGCGTGCCCAGCTGCCAGCTCAGCAGCTGGGGGGCGCTCGCAGTGTAGAGCACGAGGAGCAAGACCTGTTTGCAGGGTAAGGGAGGGGGTGCATGGTGATCATACAGCTATTCCATAGACATCGTGGATAGAACCCCAGCACTGTGTGTGCTCCTGGCAAACTCCAATCTCGTGCTCCTGGGCTTCAGTTCAACACCCTGTGGGAGTTGATTTTTCACGAGCCGCAACATCCTCTCAAACTAGGCAGGCCACCTTGATGCTGTATTCCTCGGGTCTGTAGAGGAGGGGGAAGAGCGAGTAGGTTCCCAGCGTCGTCAGGAAGAAGAACCGGTTTGCAAGCGCCGGATGTGCCTCGTGCACGACAAAGACGGCACCGGGCACGAGAACCATGAGGATGGCCTTCTCATGGACATGGTACCTGCAGGAAGTTGGAGAAGAGGTTGGCCAAGCAGAGTGATTGCCAAATGAACGTGGATGGAATCATGCACCCCTCAAAGTACACGTTCAGGTTCTCCGTGCACCCCGAACCATCCCAAACGACCCTCACCCGAAGAAGAATGATACCAGGGTGCAGTGCAGAGCAGCCTGCGGGAACCTGGCTGGGTTGGGAAAGCGCCAGGTGTGCAGGAGGCAGGGCGCCATGGCCACCAGGGTCACAAGGGCTGTGGCCCTGGAGCCTACCGGTGGCAGCACCTCGAAAGCTGCCGTCCCCACCAGGCCCCCTGTAGGACAAAGGGGGTGCCTGGTTGATGTTGCGGTCGCAGAGTGGGGTATTTTGGATTGCTTCCATGTGGTTGTTGCTGCGACCGCAAATGGAGTGCACCCCAGCCACACGACCCAGTCCTGCTGAAGCCCCCGACCTGTCATCCGCGCGGTGGGGGGCAGCCAGCGCCCGCTGCGCCGTACAGCCGCGGCCAGCACCTTGTCTGCTGCGGCGTACAGCGCCCAGAAGTTGGGGGCCCAGTAGGCGTGCACCAGGCCCCGGTCAAAGGGGAACAGCCTGCTGGCGAGCTGCCCTGCCTGGCCACGAGTGACAAAGGGTCCCATGGAAAGTAGGAACACAGCTGCCACGATGCAGCCCAGCAGGAGGAAGCGGGATGGGGCCGAGCGACCCCTGAGATATGCCAATGGTGAGGAAAGGGTGTGGAGAGAGCGTGGCGCATGCATGTTGGGCCATCATCTATTCCAATGTGCTGAGGGTGTGCCTTCATGCTTGGAATCTGCAAGGGTTATGAAGTACCTGGCACCCTGCTCTATTGTGGCAACCTGTGCGGCCTGGCATGACGCCTGGTCCAGTCCCCCCAGAGCATCCCTCATGTCCCCTCCCACAAACACCTGCAGTAGTGTCGCAGCAGGAAGACAAAGTAGACCGGCGCGGCATAGAGGAAGATGTGCTTGAAGTTGAGGAGCACAGCAAAGAGGGCCGCACCCAGCAGGTGCTGCCCATCTCTCAGGGCCGCCATAGACGCAACAAAGATCCCTGCGTGGGGGCAGGGATGTCACAAGAATCTGGCCGCCTCATGTTGCTCGTCAGCGCATACCTGTCGCAGGTCAGTCAGGAGTAGACCATGGGGTGCCTGGCCTTTCCATGCGATGCGTGCCGTCGCAACCTAATATGATGCCAGCACCCATGGTCTACCCCATGCCCCACGCCTCGTCCATCCCACCCAGCAGTATGCCGTTGTACTGGAAGTGGATGTGGTCCACCATGATGAGGCCGGGGTGCAGAGCCACCAGAGCCAGGGCCAAGCTCTGTGCTCTCCTTCCCAGGGACCTAAGGGGTGCACCCTCTGTAGGCTCAGTGGGCAATCACCAGAGCAGCTGCCACGGCAGGCATGGCCACAGTGGGCCCCTGCCGCAGATCCCACCGCACCTGCAGGCCCACCAGGCCGCCGCGAGGAGCGCCACCTCGCTCACGATGACGCTTCCACGCTGGAATGCCACTGTGGCATGGCTGGCGTAGTTCAGGCGCGGCACCTCCAGCATGGCGGGGTCCGCCCAGGAGGCCGCCTGCGCTAGAGCCCACTCGAACCAAGCAAAGAAGGGGGGGTAGTCCAGAGTCCACTCGGAGGTCGACTCAGTGTACCTTTTGTACAGGATGACGTGAGGAGTCGGTGTGCAGTGGGGCAGGATGGCAATAGTTGAGCCGACAGGTTGGACTCTAGCACATACCTGGCGGCTGCGCTGCTGCTGTTCAATGCACTGGTGGGTGCAAGGCAGTCCTACCCTAGATTCAACAGCCCAATTACTCACCACTTAGAGGTGGGCAGGCTGTAGGTAATGGCCATCCAGTTGCGGTGCACCTCGAAGTCCGTGCTCTTATAGGCTGGTACCAGCAGCACCTTGATCGCGGTCGCCAGTCCCAAGATTGACCAGACGCTGGGCATCCTACACTCCATCGGATTGAACTCTGCTCTAATGTCTGTATCTCTGAGGTTGCCAGCTGTCTGGTCAAGCCGAAGCCAGGCTAGGAGTCGACTCAGATCACTTGTCGACCTCCCAGCACAGTAGTGACGGTGCAACGCAGCATGATTCCATCCGATGCAAAATGTGCAGTTGAATTATAAGAGCACATAAGGGTCCTTGGATTGGATTGCTTTGGTGGCATGGTCTGTACTTCTCATGTGGTGATCGGGGTGGGGACTGCATGCACCGCAGGAGGCAGGCGGTGCTCTCATTCCTAGGGTCCCTAAAACAGGCTAGCGTAATCAGGACCCGCTCCATCTAAGAGCTTTACGTATAGCGCAAATTTTCGAAGGATTGCAGTGGTTCACTGGAAATTGTATGTGTGCACATCTTATATACCCAGCACTCACTGCAGGTTTGCCGTCTGCCTCCAGCACAACTTGCACCCACCGCGACGAGGATGCATCGATAGGGCTTTCGAATCTCTTATTAAGAAGTAGACTGGCCGTTCTTGCCAGTTCCACAGCCATTGTCATTATCTGATCGAGGAGGAGGAGGCAACCCGGTATGAGCTCCGACACCATCATCAAGGCCATCTTGGATGAGGAGCACAGGGAGAAGCAGCTGAAGAAGAAGAGGAAGGGCCAAGTCGGTGAGCCTGAAGGGGCGAGTTACCAGCTTTCCAGGGTCGACACGCTGCGCCGCGCCTCTACATCACCCCACACACTTTCACAGAGGGGACCAGGAAGAATGAGAAGAAGGGCAAGACACTGGAGGAGATGGAGAAGGAGGAGGGTGGCCCCGTCCAGGAGTCGCTGGTGCCCATGGCGCAGACCCAGCGTGCCGCCAAACGCAAGGGGGCCAAGGACGCCGGTGAGGTGTGAGGTTGGGCAGCTTGGAGGATATTCTTGGGGATTTGACCAAGAATGAGACATGACAAAACACCATGTCGATTGGACACCCCCGCTCAGACACCAGCATCCTGGAGGTGAGCGAGCTCCAGCGTGCCGAAGAAGAGCTGGAGGCCCAGGAGGACGATGGCGTGAAGCTGGAGGCGTTCAACCTGAAGGAGGAGCGGGCCAGGGGCCACTTTGATGAGGCGGGCAATTATGTCCAGGACGCCAAGGGCAGCGATGAGGAGGAGGAGGAGGAGGACGCCTGGCTCAAGTCTGAAGAAGGTGGGTCGGGTCGAGTAGAGTCAGGGGGGCAATGGGGTGACAGACGTTCCGATTGGGACCCTGCAGCTGTCATCCCTGCTTGCAGGGAGCCAGAATATGAAACCCTCTGTCGCATCCATCATGTACTGCTCCCTGCCACCCTGCCACTCCCCGATGAGCTTCCCATCCACTCACAGCCACGGTGGTGTCCGAGGAGGTCCGTCGTCGGCTGAAGCAGCAGGAGGCGGACGACGCGGCCGCCGCCATGGCGGCGGCCCAGCCGCTCACCGCCGCCCAGGTCGCGCGGCTGCAGCATGAAGCAGCGGCGCTGCTGGAGCCGGGGGAGAGCGTGGCTGCCGGCCTGAGACGCTTGGGTGCCGGCCTGGGGCGCCGGCCCGGGAAGCAGGCGGCCAAAGCGGCGCAGGCGGCCGGTGCGGGGGCGGTGCCCGACCCGGACAGTGCCGCCAAGTTCGAGCGGCTGACCGCGCTGGGCGTATCGCTGATGGAGGCGGGGGAGACGGATGTCTACACCCAGTCCAAGGTGGGCGACGCATGGGGTTGTGCGCCGTGTGAGCTCTCCTGGGGTGGCGAGCTTGCATCGCGTCAGGACAACCCTCGACGCTGGCCAGTCGCACTTCTGAAACACGCCAGGTGCGAGAACCCCAGGCACCCGCGTGCACTCAGCCTCCACTTGGTAACCCACGCTAGGAGTACTTTGCGCGTGCAGCGGCCGTATACATCGATGCCGACGAGGGGCCCTCCAGCCTTTTTGGCGGCTCTGCGCCCGCCACCACCGCCTACGACGACGCCGATGAGGACATGTTTGGGGGAGGGTCCGGTGAGTCTGCATTCGGGCGTCTGGGAGGATGCTGCGCCTGAAGGCTGGGGGAGTGTTACCAGAGGTACCGCCAGGAATGGGGGGTGGGCATGGGACGGGTGGCTTCGCCGGCACCTCGCACAACTGTTCCCCCTGTTCTCCGAGCTTGCACCTTCACCCGCAACCCAGACACGGAGGGAGCTGGAGGTAGAGGCGATGCACAGAGGGAAGGCGCACGGAAGGGAGGCGGGCAAGCCGGCGAGGCGGCGGGGGAGCCCAATCGAGCTGACCACCCCTCTTCACGCTCGAAGCCGGCGGCAGAGGCGTCGGCCGCTGCGCACTATGCGGCATGGCCCGTCAAGGAGCTCAGGCGCTTCCTCACCGAACGAGGGCAGGTGGGATTGGGCGTTTGGGCACCAGCAGGAAGGTGAACGTCGTGTACCTCCCCCACTGAGTCAGCATTTGTTCAGCGCTCACTGACAAATGTGCCTGTTGGGATGTGGGGGGCGATGTGACCCCTCTGGTGTGCCCACTGCCAAATGTCAGGCATATTCTCCAAGACCCACCCCGACCCTCTTGGTATCCATTCACATATCCCCAGGACCCCAGGGGCATCGTCGAGAAGGATGAGCTGGTGGCGCGTGTGGCCGCTGCAGCTGCTGAGATGGCGGCTGCGGTCCCCACACCACCACAGGGCTATGTTTACGACCCTGCCTCCAAGTTCTGGTACAGCGCTGCGTCAGGTGACTAGGAGGTGGTTTGAGGGGTGTTCAGAGGGATTCTCTGACGTGGACATGCTCACTGGAGGGCCTGAATGCAAGAAAGGCATCGCATGAAAATCTACCCGACTCCCACCGGACAGGTATGCACTGGGACGCAAAGTCGGGAGGCTTTTATAGCGGTGAATCGGGAAAGTGGTACGTCTGGGACGCCAGCAGTCAGCAGTTTGTGGAGTGGACCAAGTGAGACAGACATATCTTTTGCTGCTGGCCCGTGTGTCTCTTTGCAAGAACCCTTTCTTCATAACGTAACCACGGCATTCGTCATGTGATGGAGATTACCCTCATTGCCGCAAGTGGAAAGACAGTGTACAAACAGAGCGCCGATATCATGCCATCACTGCCCTCGAAGCTCAAGGACGGGTCGGAGCGGTTGTGCTTAGGGAGACTTCTGATCATCTCTGAGGAGACAGCTTCGGAAGGGGTCCCCTACCACACATGACGTCATTCTCCGCTGAAGTGGTCAGAGGGTATCACTGCCATTCCACTCGCATGGATGGTTCAACACTCTGTCTTTTTCGTGTTTCTTTGTGTCGTTGTTGAGCACTCGTCGCATCATGCCCTCCATCAGGCTCTTGGGTGGGCCCCGTTCCGGATCCTACTCCTCCTTCATAAGGCAAGCTCAGTCCCGGCCACCAGCCCCGGCATCATCTCGCCATCCTTTGACCGTGCGAGCTTTGAAGGAGGTTCGAACTCGTCGCGAGGAAAATGTTCCTGGTGATGTGTATGTCGATCACACCTGTATAGGTGAGAGCGGGTGGGCAACCCGCAGCGTCTCATGGAGATCACCAAGCTCCATTCGGTGTATCAACATCCTTGTAATGCGTCAACAACCACCCTTCAATCTCTCATGACCCCCCAGACTGCGACACATGTCGCTGGATGGCTCCCTCCGTCTTCGGCAGAGTCGGGGACATGTCCGCAGTCACGCGACAGCCGGCCACCCCGGAGGAGCGGCAGCGTGCCCTAGAGGCCACCATTAGCTGTCCAACGTGAGCTTGTGTGTTCTGTCACTGTGATAGACTTGCTTACGGATGGTGTGGGGTTGCGCACAGTTGGTAGATTTGGTAGGAATGCAAACATTGAAGACACAGGCGTTCCCCATGACCTTCCCCCCCAAGCACACCACCCCCATCACGGCGACGCAGGTTCTCCATCCACATGCCACGCCAGTCCCCGGAGGAGACGGCGCAGCTGATGTCCTCCTTCCCCTTGCCCATCACCGGCTGCCGCGACGTCTTCCACTGCGGCCACCATGCCGAGTCCACGTTTGGCGGCGCCTCCTACTTCATCCGCCGCCCGGACGGCAACATCCTGGTGGACAGCCCCCGCTGGAGCCCGACGCTGGCGGCGAGGCTAGAGGCGCTTGGCGGGGTGGACACCATCTTCCTCACCCACCGCGACGACGTGGGCGACCACGCGCGTTGGGCGGCGCGCTTTGGCGCGAAGCGCGTCCTGCACCGCCGGGAGATGAACGCGCGCCAGGGCACAGAGTGAGTGTGTTTGGGAAGGAGGGGCGGTTATAGCTTGCCTGAGGCATTCATCTTCCCAATGTACAGGTTGGTGCTTGTATCACTGTCGTGCTTGGAAAGACCTCGTCTGGCGTACTCCCCAGCCCAAGGCCATCTCTCTGTGCGGGATCTTGCCCACACTCCCCCCCTCACTCCTCCCCCTCCACCCGTGCCCGCAGCAAGGTGGAGCGTCCCCTGGATGGGACAGGACCCTGGAGCCTGGGGGAGGGGCTCACCGTCTACTTGACCCCGGGGCACACCGAAGGACACGCCGTCTTATTCTACGCCCCTGATGCCGCGTTGCTGGCCGGCGACCACCTGTTCCTGTCGCGGCGGCTGGGGCGGCTAGCCATCTCCATCACGCACAACTGGTATTCGCTGCCCCGCCAGCTGGAAAGCGTGGCGGAGCTGGTCGACCTGCCCGTGCGCCATGTCCTGCCGGGGCACGGCAGGCCGATGCACTTTGCGAGCGCAGGCGAGTACAGGGCGGCGGCGCTGGAGGTCCTGCGCTGCGACGGCCAGTGGGACGATGGGAGGTTGCGGGCGGTTGGTGGGAGAACCAGGGAGCTGCAGGTCTAGAACAGGTCCCGGAGACGTGGATAGGGTGCACGCCGCAAGCATCGCAGCAGCAATGAGTGTTTAAATTGGCAAAGCTTTGAAAGATGCAGTCATTGTGAGTGCCCTACTCCAAAGCCGATGTCTGAATGGTGTGGGCATCCCCCACACACATGCCGAGTATATTGCGATCTGAATAACATCCGTGAGGAATTGATCCATTCAAATATCTCGCTTGTATCCATCGTGAGTGAGGTTTGGATGTGATATGAACCTGGCCCAATCCCCCAGCTCAGAAAGAGGGTAGCGAAGCGGAAGTCGGATGTGTTTAACAAAGCGTGTTACCCGACCGGGAGCTCAAGCGGAAGGTGCTAGGGGGTGATCTAGGCGACGGGCAGGAATATCTGCGCGCATGCATGTCCAGCACATTAAGATTTCCTTTTTCCAATCTCCCGCATTGATCGAAGCCGGGGCTTCGACCCTCTGAGGCATCGAGCCTTGTTGCACACACCCTCCACGCTGACATTCTCGATGGTTTTGCTTGCCCTGCTGACCACCCTGAACTCCGCCTCGCCATGTAACCACCCCAAGTTATCTTTCATTTCATCTTGGCTGGCACCCCTGGCCGAGGCGTGCTGCCGGCTGCTGCGTCTGGGCGGGTGCGGGCAAGTCACGGAGCAGGTGCTGGGCTGCCAGGGTTTCTGGGGCTCCATCGCCTTCCCCATCGCGCTGGCCTGCCTCGGCGCCGTACTCCTGTCCATGGTGCTGAAGGCCTGCTGGGAGCTGCGACACGCCATGTCCAGCGAGCGGGGCAGCAGCGCGGCGCAGCAGGCCGGGGATGCCCTGTCGGCTCTCAAGGCCGCGGCCCCCTCCGAGTACCCACCCGCCTCCCATGCCTGGACCCAGCTAGAGGTCGACAAGGGTGCGGCCCAGGTGCTGTACTGCACGGGCTGCCACAAGCCCATCGGCTCCCCTACCTTCTACCACAGCGCCAGCGCCTGCGCGGCCTGCGGCGCGGTGGCGCACGACTCCTGCCTGCGGGGCCTGGGGGACTCCTGCCGGCCCCTGTGCTTGGCCAAGGCAACCCACTGGTGGCAGGTCCCCGGCGCGGTTCTGCAGACCGCAGACAAGGTATTGAGGCTGCCAGGGGTTTGCGAGGGTTGTTATGAGTTGGTAGATGCGGCAGGTGTATGATCTCAGATACATGTAGCAGCCTGCTGAATCTGCTACCCCATGCCCTCGCCCAATCCAATCTGGGCCACCCATCACTTGCTGCTCACCCTCTCGCAGGGCACACCCTCTGCCTCCCTGCCCTGCCATTTGTGCCAGCAGGGGTGCGGCCTTGCGCCCGTGACGCCCGAGCCCACCTGGCAGTGCGGTTTCTGCGCAGCCGCCGTGCACGTGCAGTGTTGGTGCAATGTGCACGGCGCCGCTGCGCCCGGGGTCGCGGGGGCGCTACGGAGCTGGGGGGCCGATGCGCAAGCAGGTGGGTGGTCGTGGGCCGTGGATCGCTTGGATACATATGGATGTAAAGGCTGGAAATCCGATGTGCAGGCCTCGAGGTTGTCACTCGCAGCAAACCGGCTCTGATCCTATAATCCACTCCACTTTCCCAGACGAGACCCCCAGCGATTCCTGCGCTAGCTCCCTGGCTAGCACAGGTGAGGTTTGAGAAGAGATTCGGGGATGCTCAGGCAGCTTACTGAACTCCTTGCCGCGACAGCCTGTCCCTTTCTTGCGCATGACCCGTGCTCTGATGAGTCCGGGCATCCACCAACCTTCTCAAATCATCCTTCCCTCGCCCCTTTCCTCCTAACTCAGACACCGAGGATGAGGAGTGGGCCAGCCCCGTGAGGAGGCGCACGCGGGAGCTGCGGCGCCGGCAGCGACGCATCGCCGAGCGCGACATGCACCCCCTTGACGCGTGCCGGCCCTCCGGCCCCGCCTCCGGCGCGGTGCTCCTCCCTTGGTCCGTGGAGGCCGCCCCTGGGCATGACGGCGCTGACCCCGGTTCGGACGCGGAGTCGCTGCCCGACCGGGGGCGCGGGTGGTGGCGGCCGCGCCGCCGCCCAAAGCCACGCCCGCTGCGGCGCGAGGGCCTGAGGGTGTCCGCCGCGCGGCTGCCGGCTGGCTGCCGCCCGGTGCTGGCATTCGTGAACACCAAGTCTGGGGCGCAGGCCGGCACGGCCTTCCGCCAGCGCCTGCTGCGCTCGCTGCACCCGCTGCAGGTGGTGCAGCTGCCGCGGGAGGACCCCGTCGTGGCGCTGCGCCCGCTGCTGGGCCTGCCGGGCCTGCGCGTCCTGGTGATCGGCGGGGACGGAACTGTGTCCTGGGTGCTGTCGGCCATCGACGACGCGACGGCCGCGGCGACCGGCGGGGAGGCCGTCGGCGACGATGAGGCGCCCCCAGCGCCGCCAGTGGGCATCATCCCCCTGGGCACAGGTGATTTGGATGGGTAATGGTTGGGACGTGCTGTCTTCGCATCGTGCGTATGGGAGGATGTATATGGGAGTCGGGGTTGAGGGCGGTGATGATCAGCGTGCACCAGTGCTTGTTGCCGGGCCTACCGCCACCGAGCAGGGGTGGACAGGCCCACCTGCTTGTGGCCGCAGTGCTCTACCCACCCTGCCCAGCAATGCACATGCCAGCATGGTAGAGTCAGCTGGAGCTGTTTGTGTACATCAAGTGCCCTAGCTTCTCACGTGGGACCCCTCCAGGTCCCACGCTGCGAGACAGCCCACCCACCCACTCTTAACATGTCCCTGCCTGGCAGGCAACGACCTTGCGCGCGTGCTGGGCTGGGGCGCCGGCGCGGCCGGCTGGCTGGACCACTCTGCGTTGGGGCTGCTGGAGGCGGTGGAGCACGCCGCACCCGTTCATGTGGACCGCTGGCGGCTGCGCGGCGAGCGACGCGAGGGGGAGGGCGGGTCTGGCGGCAAGGGCAACCGGCCGGCCAAGGACGGGGAGGGGGATGACACCCTGGACAAAACCATGACCAACTACCTGGGCATCGGCACCGACGCGGGGGTGGGTTCTCGGAGGAGGAGGGGTGGGAGAGGAGCGTTTTACATGGTCGACAAGGCAGCAGGTTGCTTGCTCTGCATACTGGCCTGAGCTCATTCACAGGGAGGTGCGGGGGTCCTCCTTGTCAAAGAGCCTCCTAGCCACAGGGCTGCTTGGGTGCCAGGCATTGCAGGCTGGGTCTCTTCATGATGGGTGCATGCATGCTTGTAGATGCAGCGATGGTGATATTTAGCCCGCCGCCACTGTCTAATGCTCCCTTCCCCATCATCCCCTCCCCCCCCCCACCCACCACCTCCCTCAGGTGGCGCTGGGGTTCCATCGCATGCGGGAGGGCTACCCCAACCTGTTCGGGTCGCAGCTGGGGAACAAGCTGCTCTACACCTGGCTCGGCGCCCAGCACATGCTGTCCATCCCCGGTTCGGACCTCTCCGACCTGGTCCAGGTCGAGGCCGACGGCAAGCCGCTGGAGCTGCCGGCCGGTATCCAGGGCCTCATGCTGCTCAACATCAACTCCTTCATGGGCGGTGTGGACCTGTGGGCCACCTCATCCGAGGCTGGTCTGGAGCAGACCCTGCAGCCCCAGCGCCTCTGGGATGGCAAACTGGAGGCGAGTGGAGGGAAGGGAGGATGGGAGGGCGTGCTCCCTCACACGAGGCTGCCGGGTTTGGAGTCCAGACAGGACGTGATCTGGCGGGCTTGCAGGAGCAACGACGGCATCCTCCCCCCCAACCCCTTCCACCCATCCCCGCCCCACTCCAAGCAGCTGGCTGCGGTGTTTGGCATCTGGCACCTGGGCAAGCTGCAGATCGGACTGGACAGCGCCATCAGGCTGTGCCAGTGCTCGGAGCTGAGCATCACCCTGACCAAGTCCATGCCCATGCAGGTGCCAGGCCTGGGGCACTGGCCTCGTAGTTGAAGATGCCTGGGCGGCTTGGTGGGGAGGCAGGTTTGTGTCCATTGTATCCTCCATTTCGCTGCTGGCTTTCGGCTGAGAATGCTGCAATATGCGCCAACCCCTCTCCCTCCCCAACCCCCCATCCTGAGCAGGTGGACGGCGAGGCGTCGCAGCAGCCCGCCGGCACATTCACCGTTTCTCGCCAGGGCCAGGTGCCCATGCTGCAGCGCGTCCATCCGGCCCTTGCCAGCGTGGTCAAGGTGGGTGGCAGTGTGGTGGGGATGGTGAGGGGAGGAGCATGGCGTGTGGGCAGCAGCCAGGCAGTTTTGTGGCCTTCAAGATGGCGCTCTGGGCATGGATTTCTGCTCTTCTCCATTTCCCCCTCCCTTCTCGCTCTCCATACAGGCGGTGACAGACGTGCTGGACGATGCTCGGGAAGACGAGGGGATCAGCCGCAAGCAGCACGCTGCCCTTTCCTCTGCCATGGCCACAGCGCTGCAGGACAAGCTGGACCCCAACAACTGAGGTGCAGGCAGGTGCCTGAGTGCAGGCACATACGGACTTGCACATGGGGCCACAACCGCTTTGCAGGTCGCAGGCATGCATTCTACTTCTTGCGCAGACCATTCTGCCATGCTTGTGTGCACACTTCTCAACAACCTATCCTCGAGACATTCATTGCGTTTCCCCCCGTTTTTCTACTCAGTTGCATATGGCTGGCTTTTCTATGGTACTCGTTACACCATTTGGTTGATTGCAACTTTGGCTTACTACAGATCAAGATACACGAAGTTGAAATGGGAGGTACTCAACGCCATGGCAGCACAGATGTGCATCACTTCTTGGCCTTCTCCTCGCTCTCCTTAGCCTTCTTTGCAGTGGCCTCGCCACCCTTCTCGCTGATCTCAGCCATGTTGTATCCTGTGTGAGGAAAGACAAGCACATCATTGCTATTCGACAGGGTGTGCTCGACCTCACAATCTGGGCCCATGGTGTACACCAGATTGCAGTACACCCACGCAGCCCTTGATGTCTCATGCCAAACTGAGCCACGCCACCACTCTTCCCCATGATCTCCTCACCTGCTCCCTCCCCGTCATTCTCAGAAGGCTCGCCGGAGCGAGGCGACTGGCCCGACGTCGAGCTCTTGTCACCTTCCCTCTTGTCAGCGCCCTTGGACGCACTGTGCAGGAGTGAAGGGTTATGAACATCATGTATACAGGCCTCTGGAGAGACAAGGATAATCTATGGCATGTTTGTGGCCAGGGAGCGACCAAACCATGCAGGAAGACACCGTGATGCAAGCTCCCAACACACCCGCTGCTCACCTGTCGGTTCCTCCTGCCCTGACAAGTGTCATGGGCGCCGTCCTCTGGACCATGTGCGCTCCATGCCGGACCTACGGCATGCGAGATAGGGATGGGGTCGATGCTCATGGAGTTACGTTCCAAATTGAGAGCCTTCCCATCCCAGATGGATCCTCACGTTTGGCCTTGCTTGCGTGGTAGTGCCGGCTGGGCGGGTGTTGGCCCGGCTGCTCAGCATGCTGACGGAGGACATCGAAGCGGTCATCATCGTGCTACAAGTATATTACGGGGGAGGCGATATATGATTCGGAGGGGAAGCCAAGATGTGCTTGCGGAGTTCCTGGGGTGCATTAGAGGGGTTGGGTCGAGGCATCATAACTCCACGGCGACACGGGAGTCTTCTCGCAGCTGCATGGCAGCTGGGGATTCAAACCCCCACAAAAGAATTCAGCACCGAAAATCATTCTGGATTCTTTGCTGAGGTCATACCCTTCATTGTCATACCACATTAAAAATGACAGTGCGTGGATGTTGAGCACTGGCTAATGACCCAGCGCCCTTCTGTGCAAAATCGTTGGAACTCGGAAGCGTCAAGGTGGCCATCAGGTCAAGACAACACCTGTTGCACTCTCATCTTCAACAGCTGCACCAGCAAGCTATCAACACCCAGGTGCCCTGCAACCCGGCACTCCACCCCAGGGTGGGCTGACGCTGCCTCCTCCGTCAGTCTGGGGATGTCCTCCTGGATATGACGGCCCGGACCAAGGAACAAGGGCGCGACGACGATTTTGGTTGCGCCCTGAGACACGCACGAGTCGACCGCCTGCTTAAGGCTGGGCTCCGTCAGCTCCATGTGGGCCGTTTCTACTATGGCGCTCCCTGTTTCTCGCCTGTGTCAAGGGTGGGGGGAAATCTGGATGAAGCTGGCTACCTGTTGTATGGCATGGCATGCACCTGATATTGCAGAGCAGCATCAGTATGGCAACTTCTTCTGGTAGATCACGTGGCATACTAAGCATTGCAGCTTGAGCTGGTGGAGGCTGATTAGCTCAAGGTAAAAGAGTTGCCTAATTCTACCACTGTTTACCTTTGGCAGGTTGGGGAGACTCCAGGCCAACAGATCAACCATGCAAACCCCTGCCACTACACATCGATGAACAGCATAAATCAACAATACTCACCTGTAAAGTTGTGCAACATCCTCCAGCATAGCATTGGCTTCCTTCCGTCGAGAGCCATGGTCTATGATGACCACAGCCCACTGGTCCTCTGCACCAAGCTGAGCATTCTCCCTCACTGTTTCAGCTGCCAACGTTAATGTCCTCGAATTAGTAAACCATCGCTTTACTCTATCTATAGAGTTTGTTTGTGTATGTCGTGGAAGATATCCAACGTCCGTTCTGCGTTTCGCAAGAACAGGAGGACAGTGAAAGTGTGAAGGAGGTCGTGCAGCGAAAGAGCCAGGGGCGTGCGTGGCCAAGAGCATGACCATCTAATATATTGGCGTACTAAACCAGGCCAGCAGAATATGCGGTGCTCCCGTCGGAGGTACATGTCTATCTATCGGAGTGATGGAGGGCGACGCATGCAAGATGTGTGGAAATCTTCCAACCGGGAGCAGCCTGCGCGCGGTATCCATACGCGAAGAAAATGCATGCTCCGCCTCAGCGCGTGAACCCAGACTTGGCTTCGGTGAGTGATTCTCCTCTGTCGCTTCGGCGCTCGTCACCCTGGCATGCGCCCGTGGCATAGCCCCTACCTCCCCAGCTCCCCATACCTCGGATCAGCGGGTGGTACGGTGCCCTGCTCGATACCGACCCCTGTCGTCGTTTCCGGGTTTTGAATGATGCAGGAAGCATCTGTGGCAGCAGATGATAGCCTGCGGCCCGGCCCCGTGCCTGCGGAGGAGCCCGGATCACCCGATGGCGTGAGGGCGGTGGCGTCAGACAAGGCCGAGGATGTCCCCGACGACAAGGATTTTTTCAGCTGCAACATTTGCTACGAGGTGGGTCATGTACGGCGGGTTTCTCCCCTGGGTTCCCTGGTGCTCGTCGAGGTGTGCATGCCAACCCGGAATTCTCGCTCCTCACCTGGCCTTGTGATCTCACTACCGGCCCCGTCGCGGCCCCCACCGCCCAGACGGCCGTGAACCCCGTGGTGACTCTGTGTGGCCACCTCTACTGCTGGCCGTGCCTGTACCGCTGGCTCCAGGTGCAGCGCCACTCCCACACCTGCCCCGTCTGCAAGGCAGGCGTGGACGAAAGCAAGGTGCGTTTTGGGGGGGTTGGTGGGGGCGACATGGTGGTTGCAGGCGCTCGACATTGGCCTCAGTCATTGCATGACATCCTTGTACTGCCGTTCCTGACCCCCCGCCCCGCACCCCCTTCATCCAAAGGTGGTGCCCATCTACGGCCGCGGCCGGGAGGGTGTGGACCCCCGCACCCAGACCCAGCCCCGCGAGCCTACCAAGGCCATCCCCTCCAGACCCCTGGGCCAGCGCACACCCCCCGTGGTCCGTGCCGCGGCTGCCGAGGCCCAGCAGGCGCAGCACGGCATGGGTCTCATGCCCGCGCTCTTCGGCCTGCAGCCCGGGGCCGGGGGGGGCAGCGAGCCCCTGACCCAGGAGCAGCAGCACCAGGCCTTCCTGTCCCGCCTGCTCCTCATGCTGGGCTCCTTTGTGATCATGTGCCTCCTTCTCTTTTGAGCCAGACGAGCCCCCTTCTCACCTCCCCAAGCACTCCCAGGACTCATCTTCCGGGCCCACTGACGGCCCCGTTGCCCCCCTCCCTTTGGTTGCCTGCATCCATCCCGCAGACACCCCTCAGCTTGACTGGGCTTGTTACTGCACGTTCTCTGCAACCCTGCAGCCCCGCCAGAGGCTTGCCTTTCTTGGCCCACCACTTGCTTACTTGCCCGTTGTCAGATTTCTGGGCGCCCTTTCCCCAAGCTACTGCATGGACATGCCTGCCAGGATCAGGGTGCCACGATGGGCGCCATTCGGACATACAGCTGCAGGGCCAGGCTGCCGGGCAGTTTGACGGAGCGCACAGGGATGAGGGCGGGGGTGGGCTGGGGCTGGGGCGCTTCCGCCTCGATCCAGCTGCATTCCGGGACCGGGCCCATAATCCTGGCCTGCATGCGCCACGTGGCATCTGCCGGAAGAGGGCCCAGGGCAGTCGTGGTGTGCTGCAGGCGCAGCATGGCGCTGCGCAGCACAGCGTGCATGTTGCGGACCGCTGCAGGCGAGCTGAGCCCGGTTTCTGAGATCTGGGTGGGCGGTGGGTGTGGAGGGGATCACCTGGGATGAGTTGGTCATCAGGGGCTGGTCTCTGAAACACAGCAGCAGCCATCCAAACTCCCTGTACCTCAACATCTAGGGAGTATTCCTCCAGGGTCGTGAACTGGGCCGGGTGCTGGATGATTAGCGTAGCGCTCGGCAGCACTCCCTCCATCAGCGGTGCCTGGGTGGGGTGAGGAGGGTGCATGGGCATCCACCCGCATGCATACTCTGCACCCCACCGACAATGTCGACAGGACTCAGCATCCCCACGGTCAACCCGCAACTCCTCAGCAGCATTACCCTGAGCTCCTGGAGGGCGTTCGCGATGTAGGCGCAGAGGCCTGGGTGCCTGGCCCGCTGCACCGCCAGCCCGTACAGCCTCTCCCGTGTGAAGAGATCCGGTCGATACAGGCCCCTTGCCGCCAGGATTGCATGCACCGCCGCCTCCCAAAACTCGAGTAGCATGTCCACAACATCGACGACGGTTGGGTGGGCGGCACTGGCCTGCATCTGGCTCTGACCTCGAGGTGCTCGAGCCCGTCACCGGCTGCCGGCTCGCCGCAGCCCCGGTCGGTGAGGCATCGATCCGAGGAGCCTGATGCTACATTCGGCTGCTGGAATGGCTCTGCCGATCCCGGATTGCTGGAGGTCCATGCTTACAGGCCAGGACGGCTCTCCCTTGATCCGCACCATGCAGCGACCATGATGGCATGGCATTCTTGGCGGGGGCATGCAGCACCATCAGGAAGTGATTCCCCCGATCCAGGCACCCAGCACACCGCCCCCTCCCCGCCGCACCCTCAATCCCCCCAGCACTTTGTCAGGAATGCCTTGAGGCGGGGCACGTACAGCGGGCTGTCCTCCACGTTGTCGTGGTCGGCGCCCTCCACCCACAGCGCCTCCACGGCGGCGGGGCACAGCGTGGCCAGCGTGCGCCCGTGCCCCACCGGAATCACGGAGTCCGCCGTGCCGTGCACCACCAGCGTGGGCGCCGCGATCCTGGGCGCGGCGGCGTGGTTGGGGAAGAGGTCTGCCCACGCCGGCCAGCGCGTCCAGCCCGGGTTGAGCACCCGCATGCCCGACAGGAAGGGGGAGTGCAGCACGACGCCGGCGGCGCCCGCGCCCGCGGGGGAGGCCGCCAGGTGGCAGGTGGGGCCGGAGCCCACGGACTGCCCGTACAGGACGACGTCGCCCGGTGTCAAGCCCTCGTCCCGCTGCAGCGCGGCGTACACCGCGTGCACGTCGCGGTTGATAGTGGAGGCGGCGGGGACGCCGCCGCTGCACCCATACCTGGTGGGGGTGAAGGCAGGGGGTAGGTTGTGAGATTGCGATGCAGAGAATCGGGAAAGGAAGGGGAGGTTGAGGGAGGGGTTCGCAGCCCCTCATCGCACTGAGAACCCACATCATCGGCAGATGCTCGACCTTGCGGCATGCCCCTGAGAACCATCAGCAGGCAATGGTCTCACAAATGTCGCCCCCCCTTCCCCCGCGCACATGAGCAGGCCCCACCCCCCCGGCTCCCCTACCCGCGGTAGTCCCAGCCCACGACGTTGCACTGCAGCACCCTGGCCAGGCTGGCGTAGAGAGGCAGCATCTCCCCCAGGTCCACCGCGTTGCCGTGGGAGTGCAGGATGGTGCGGCGCGTGGGGTTGGGGGCGGGCACACGTACCACCACCAGCTGGTGGGAGGAGGACCCCGCCGCCGGCACCCAGGTCACGCGCCCCTGCGGCACCTTCCGCACAGCCCTGACCGACAGAACATCATGCATGGGAGGCGGGTTGGGGTTGGACTAGGGCTGCACGACATCTGGTGAGGAAGCCCTGGTGACTGTGAGCGAGCGCACCCTGCCCCCTGGAATCACAAGGCATGATGACGTCTTCCTCGCGCCACCCACCGGCTGAGGGGCTTGCAGTACAGCGCGCGGTCGCCATCACCATGCTCTGCCACGGTATAGGTAGGCACGGGAGGAAAGAATGCCAGCCTGCCGCTGATGGAGTCGACCAGCTTCGCGAGGACCATGGTCCCCACAGCTTCACTCCCACGAGACCGATGCCTCACATGGCCCTCCTACCAGGCCTTCACATACGACATGAGGGTGCATATTTGCAACTTGGGTCGGCAATCACCCATCGTTCTACCTCAGGCGAGCGGTATGCACCTTAGGGTGGGGTTTCGTGAACCTGGGAGGGCGCGACAATATATCGATATGATTTCAAAACCTCCAGACACATAGCGCCAGGTTGCCAAAACTTGCAGCACCACGCCGCAGTTGCATTCGTCAGTAAACAAAAATGGCTGAAGAGGACCTCCTACTCGCACTGGCAGAGGAGATCACCCCGGTCGACCCACTTCGCGAACCATGCCGGCCAGAACCCACTCGGGGCCCAACGGAGGTAGTATCGCGCCCTCGCTTCGCCGGCCCCCCCAGCCAGCCTGGATGCATTCCCATACTTGGCGAACGAGGCGATACTGCATTCGGAGACTTGATCAGCCGGGGGCAGGTGTCGGCAAAATCCACCTCCACCAGCCGGCCCCCGGGTTATGCAGAAGCCGGCCAAGGCTCGTATGTGCAGCGCATCACGGGACTCAAGGTGAGGGGCCAGGTACAATGACCAGCTATGACCCATTAAATTTAATTCCTTCAGCAACATCATCCCCTACCCAATGGCTGCAGATGAAGAAACCCCTGGTGTCCAGTTCTCAGCTGCAGTCCAGGTTGCAAGACACCGCCGTGCTGAAACTGTCACAGATCAGGTATTGTACAGGAAAACCGGGCGATTCAGCCCTTTTTGGGTTCTTTCAAAGTTCCTCAACCTTCACCGTGCCCATTGGAGCACCGGATCTTCCACTAGTATTTGCGTCATGTGCGCCATCTTCAGATCCAGTGTGGTGCTGATGCAGGTCTCGGTTCACATCCACGGGCCTCGTCGGGTCATGGACCACCCTGTGTGTGCTGGGGGAGCGCAGCAAAGCCATGCAGTCGTCCACTGGTGCGTTCTGAGAGTGGAAGAAAGAGGAGGGGTGGAGTGCATGTGTTTGGGAGGTGGCAGTCTCCGGACACCTATCCCCTGCCACACTGGCCTTCCCAAGTTGACGAGTACAAGAGGGTCCTTGAGCCTACACCATCAACCCTTCCATTCACCCCACAATCCTGGATCAGGCAGCACATACAGCATCTGGAAGCTGACAGACCTGGATCAGACCACGCTGTCCATCTTTCTTTTTAGCGGAGCACACGACGAGCTGTGGAAGCAGGCCCCTGGCACCCTGATCGCCATCTTCACCCCCAAAGTGAAGAATGACAGGGAGCTGTGTCTGACAGCAATTTCAGGAGACCAGGTGTGGGTCCTCGGCACGGCAGCCGAGTTCGGGTACTGCAGGGCTCAGAAGAAGGTATGGCGCAGGGAGGAGTGCATGTACATTCCGAATGCTCGACACGAATGTCCTCTTGGCCCTTGCGATGCAGAAACGAGCACCTCAGTGGGCCCCTCCCCATCCCGTGCCGAGAATGTTGCCACAGTGCCCCATCGTCTTCCTTTCATCCCCTCCCAGGATGGTCAGCCATGCCGGGTCCCCGTAAATATGGCGCGCTGCCCTTTCTGTCCCTACCATGTTCAGGTAGGCATTCTTCTGGAGCACTGTGCACAGATGGTAGCACAAAGAGAGAGTTGGGGATTTCTCACTGTATACTTGGGTCGCAGGTCTGCTCTGTTCTCCAGTCCACCCCTAACAGACCAACCCCCCCCCCCCCCGCCCCGGCAATATCCCTCCGCCCAGTCGGAGTATAACCGCGTCAAGCCGTTGGGACGGAATGAGTTCCAGGGAAGTACGCTGTCTACCGCATTCCGCGCCGGACAGCAGAAGGGTGGGCTGGGGTTGGATGGGCCAGGCTCCGTTGTTGCACAGCAAGTCTTGCAGCTGGGAGCATTCTTTTGAGGCCTCTGGCCTGATGCACATGCCTATCCACCCTCTTTTTTCAGGACCCCACCTCCAAAAACTACACAGGACTGCATTGGCAGCCGGGGCGATTCGAGCCCCGCATCGCGGCCAAGCCCAGGATGCACGCGGCCAGCCCAGCGGCGCTTTCCAGCCTCGCGGGCGCGGCCGCCAGCCGCGGCAGCACGGCCGGGTCCAAGTACCTCGTCAGCATCGCCGACCCCGCCAGCGTGGCGGCCGCGGCGGCCTCGCGCTCTGCGGCGGGTGGGGCGCTGCACAAGGCCCTGCCCCAGGGTCGATCCGTGGGGACGCTGGTGTCGCAGGTCCAGCGTGGCACCAAGCGCAAGGGCGGGGCGGTGCCGGCCGGTGGCCGGGGATCCGCGTCGCCCGCCGGTCCCGACGAGGTGCAGCTGGCTGCCAGCGACGACGAGGGCGAGGGCGATGGGCATGGCCCCCACGACCCCGGGCGCAGGGCCTCCGGGGACGACGGCGCGCGCGGCCGCGCCCTGGCCCTCCTCATGTCCACCAGGGCGGGGCAGCGTGGCTTCACGGCCCCGCCCCGGCCAGCGGTGCCGGAGTTCCTGGCGGCTCCCCTGAGGGCGGCCAAGAGCGGCGGCCCGCAGCCCGATTCTGGGACCCCGGCGGCAGGAGCAGTAGAGCTGGCCGCAGTGGCTGCAGGGCCGCAGAAGCCCTCTGCCACCAATACAAGGCGGCAGCGGGCAAGCAGTCTGGGGAAGGAGAACCGAGCGGAGCCCTCCAAGCTGGCCTCCGCGTTTGGGGAGGCGGTACTGGCCCAGGAGGGGGATGGGCTCGCAGCCCCGGGCTCCAGGTGGGTGGCTGGCGCAGGGTAGAAAGGGGGAGCTTTTGGTGTCCATCACAAGTCACGAGGTTGCCCTGCCAAGTGGTACAATGACAGGCAACACCGTCCCGCCCAGCAGCACACAATACCTTCACCCGGCAAGACCAGCCCATGCAGGTATGCCGAGCTGGTGGACGATGAGGACGCGGCTCGGCTGGACGGGGTGCTGCAAGTGCTGGAAAGGAAGGACGAGCTGGCCGCCAGGATGGACGCCACCACCAAGCTCCAGGTCCAGGCCTTCTCCTGCCGTCACTGCAAGTACGTGGCTGAGAAACGGCGGCCCGAGTGCGGCGGCCATCCCCACCTGGTGGACAGGGTCACGGCGACCAAGCGGTGGTGGGGCTGCGAAGCCTGCCACCACCGCTTCGCGACCATGGGGGTGAAGTACCCGACCACCCGCTGCGCCAAGTGAGTTGTGGTGTGAATGGGTGTGTGTATGATGGCGAATCCCATGTTGCCACAACCCCTGGTCGGACATGAAGACTTTACCAAGACTGCACACTGGACCAGCAAACTCATTGGGGCCGGGGTGGGAGACCCTGGTGCCCGAAGGCCCTACTCTGCACTTCATGATGCAAACCCAGCTGCCTGGTGTAGAACGAGTGTCCCAAACTCCTCAATCCTCAGACCCTGCCATGCCTTTCCCAACCACCCAGATGCAACCACCCAGAAAACGGCTTCAAGGCCCTGAGCCAGTGGCGGCCGGGCAAGGAGTCGCGCACGGACCAGCAGTCTAGCGTGGCGGACCGGAGCCAGCTCCTGACGCGCGGCGTCGAGCAGAAGTGGGTCGGCGGCTGACATACTTGCCGGGGCTTGAGCCGGAGGGGTGCTGGGCTCGTCGTCGGAGGCTGCCGCGCTGCAGTACACTACTTGGTTCGCCCCATACTGCTTCATGAAGTGTACTGCCTGCTGTCCCCTGAGTGTCCCGTCACAGACCCTTGGGGCTGGCCATACTTTCCCAAGAGTTTGACAACAGGGGACCTCTAAGGAGCCACAGGCAGACCTCAGGCTCCAAAGGGTACAGATGGATGGAAGGAAGAGGGTGTCTTTGCGGGTTGTGCACGCATGTCCAGGACACAGCAAGGACTTGGGGGTGTGAAGGGGAACTTTCTGCCGTGCCAAGCGGGCGCAGCCCTGTGCGCAAGGTGAGAGTGTCTGAATGTTTGGCAAGCGAGGATGGCCATGAGCTCCAGCATCTGGAGGACAGCCTCTGCAGACTGGCTCACGATGCCTCCAGAGAGTCCAGGCGCGCTCTGCTGCCTCCGCTGCAGCGCACGCCAGCCGACCACCATCGCGCGCGCCGCACCCCGTCACCCTCCGCCGCCCTGCCCGCCCCCCCTCAGGCATCCAGCAGCGCGGCGTCGAAGCCGGGCATGGGGAAGGTGGCCGCCCAGGCCTGCACCCTGGCCCGGATGTCGGCCAGCTTCTCGCTGGCGTCCAGGCCCTTGGAGAAGGCGGCCAGCTGCTTGCCGTGGGCGGCCTGGACGGCCTTGCACTCCGCCACCACCTCGTCCAGGAACCCGGCGATGGCGCGGAAGTCGGCCTCGCCCAGCCCGCGGCTGGTCATGGCGGGGGAGCCCAGGCGCACGCCCCCAGGTGCCAGCGCGCTGGCGTCCCCCACCACCGCGTTCTTGTTCAGCGTGATGTGGCAGCGGTCGGCGGCGGCCTCCACCTTGGACCCGGTGAGGCCCTCGGGGCGCAGGTCCCACAGCACCAGGTGGTTGTCGGTGCCACCCGTGGCCAGCGTGTACCCGCGCCGCACCAGCTCCCCCGCCAGCGCGCGGGAGTTGGCCACCACTGCGCGCGCGTAGAGCTTGAAGGCGGGGGAGGCCGCGGCGCGCAGCGCCACCGCCAGCGCGCCGATCTGGTGGTTGTGGGGCCCGCCCTGGAGGGAGGGGAACACCGCAAAGTTGATGCGGTCCTCGAAATCGTAGCTGACGCTGCCAGGCGCCTCGCCGCGCTTCAGCGCCGACTCCGGCTTGGGGCCCTGGGGGTGTTGTGGAGGGAAAGAGGTCGGCGCTGTCAGCGCTGGGTGATGCAGGCGACGGCGCCAGGCCGCATGCCCGTCGGCGGCTGCGCTGCTGAGGAAGCATTGGCTGCAGAGGCGCAGAGCTCCATGCGTCAGAGGTCCCGCCACCCAGCCGGAGACACAGCCAAGGAATCCAGCCTCGCCAAACCAAACCCTCCCACCTCACACTCGCCCTTCAACGTTCCTCATTCCCTGCATCCTTCCGCCCCCCCTCCCATCCAACCAAAATCGCTCACCCTACGGAAGAAGATCATGCCGGCGCGCGGGCCGCGCAGGCTCTTGTGGGTGGTGGTGGTCACGATGTCGGCGAGCTCAAAGGGGCTGGCCGCCTCGCCGGCCGCCACCAGGCCCGAGATGTGGGCCATGTCCACCATGAGCAACGCGCCCACCTTGTCTGCATTGGGTGGTGAGTGGTAGAAGGCGGTGAGGGCCCGGTGATGTCGGTTGAGTTTGCCTGGCGTATGCTGGCCCATGCATGGCATGGGCACGCAACCAGGCTCGTCAGAGCTACGTGAGGGGGAGCTGCCCGATACCAAACTCCCTTGGCAGCCGGGCAATGAAGGGAGACGTGCCTGAGGAACTTGCAGGAGCACCCACAAACTGGTGCCCCCAAAAGCTTCAGAACCCATTCTCATCCTCCCCTCCTCCCTTGCCACACCAGCCCACCCTGGCTCACCGGCGATGGCACGCAGCCGGGCGTAGTCCCACTCCCGCGGGTAGGCCGACCCGCCGGAGATGATGAGCTTAGGACGGTAGTCGGTGGCCTTTTCCTCCAGCTTGTCGTAGTCGATGTACCCAGTCTGTGGCAGGTGGAAAGAGGGAACAGGCTGGTGAGCACCCAGTGACCGGGTTTCCGGAGGAGCACATGCGGTAACACCTAGGACTCCACCTCTGCTTGCAGAATTTCACCCCTCTTCCCAGCCTTCTGTGACACCCAGAACCCGCCCCACCTGGACGTTCAGCTTGTAAGGCAGTGACTCGAAGAAGATGGAGGTAGCGGAGATCTTCTTTCCGCCCGCGGTGTAGTAGCCGTGGGTCAGGTGTCCCCCCGAGGGCAGGTCCAGGCCCATGATGCGGTCGTGGGGCTGGAGCAGGGCGGTGTACACCGCAAAGTTGGCGGGGGAGCCGGAGTAGGGCTGCACGTTCACGCCCCAGGCCGCGGGGTCCAGGCCGAAGGCCGCCAGCGCGCGCTGCTGACAGAGGACCTCCACCTTGTCGATTACCTCGTTGCCGCCGTAGTAGCGAGCGCCGGGCAGGCCCTCGCTGTACTTGTTGGTCAGGGCGGAGCCCAGGGCCTCCAGCACGGGGGCGCTGGTGAAGTTCTCCGAGGCGATCAACTCGATCCCGCTCCTGAGCGGGGAGAGGGGGTAGATTTCTCATGTTCAGGTACAGCGATGATGCACGAGTGCACGATGATGCCGCTCGACCGGCATCCGAAAGGCTGGCACAGCGATCCAAGGGCATGCATGCACGAAGCGTGTTGCCCTGCCCCACCACACACCATTGGCGACGCTTCTCGTCCTCGATCAGGGCAGCAACCTCGGGATCTGCCTCCTTTAGAGACTTGAGTGCATCGGGGAAGACCTCGGCAAACTGCTGGGCCTTCTCTGCGCTGAAGGTGTTGCCGTTGGACTGCGTCATGCTGAAGGTTCCTGTGTGATGGAGGGGCTAATGCGCAGGTCACCGCCACACGATTCTCTTGTTCGGCTTTTCTCGATGAGCCGATGGACAGGATGTAGTGTGATCAGCTGACGGCTCGCCATTCAATCCATTTTCCGATCCCTGTTCAAAACGTGAGCCGAGGTGGCGCCAATCTGCCGATGTCGACGCGCGCGCCAAACAGGTCCAATGCATGCCACGCCAAGTACTGCATGCTAGTCTCAGGAGAGTTGAATTGATACATGAATGACATAAAGTCTATATGCGATTATTTACCTGACATTAACCCTGCCGTGTCCCCGCCCCAAGTAGCCATGCGGCGGTGACGTTGGACGAGGTCGTCAAGGACTCGCTGCAAGTGCCCACAGCATGCTGAGATTTCAGGGAGCTGAGCACTTTCGTCAGAGACTGGTATTCTCCACTCTCTCTGGTCGTCCCATCCGCATCGACGGCATCCGTCCCCATGCCGAGTCCCCAGGACTGCAGGAACACGAGGCCTCCCTGCTCCGCCTGATAGAGAAGGTCACCAACGGGTGCATCATAGAGATCAATGAGACAGGTGAAGTAGCTTGGTGCGTCATGAGGTTGAACTGCATAGGATATGCAGGTCAGCAGGTGCTGGCCTTGGAGGGAATGGGGCCTGAGGAGTGCCCTTCAGGCTGTGCTGGTCTCTGATGCCTAGGTCGCACGCCTCGAGCTCCTTGCACAGCGGCCGGCCCAATGCCACGCTTGCCACTTGTCAACATGCCCCATTTCCCCACCCATCTCCCAGGTACGAGCCTGCGATACAAGCCCGGCTTCATTCACGGCGGCCCCGGCATCGAGCACGACTGCGGCACCAGCCGTGGTGTGGGGTACTACCTGGAGCCCCTGGCCCTGCTGGCCCTGTTTGGCCGCAGCCCCCTCTCCGCCAGCCTGCGGGGGGTGACCAACGGCGGGCCGGACCCCGGGGTCGACGTCTTCCGCGCCGTCACGCTGCCCCTGCTGCGCCAGCTGGCAGGGCTGGAGGATGGGCTGGAGCTCAGGATCGAGGCGCGGGGCGCGCCGCCACTGGGCGGCGGCGAGGTCAGGCTGCGCCTGCCCTGCGTCAAGGCCCTGCCCCCCGTCGCGCTCACGGACGAGGGCATGGTGCGTCGGGTGCGAGGCGTGGCCCACTCCATGCGCGTCTCACCCCAAGCGGCCAACCGGCTCGTGGACGGCGCCAGGGGCGTGATGAACAAGGTGCGGTTCAGGAAGGGTGGGGGGGCCGTTGTTGCGTGTGCTCCTGGGCGACTGTGCATGCCTAGAGGGGGGGGGAAGGGGGGTAAAAGCACCTGCAGGCCCTGACGCAGAGTCTGAGGCACAGCTGGGCAAGTAGAGGGGGGCTGGTGGTATGTCGGCGCCCCGCTCGTGTCTCGCCCCCAACCGAGGCACACAGTATCCCCCCTTTCACCGCACAGCTGCTGGCCGATGTGTTCATCTTCACCGACCACATGAGCGGGCGGGCATCGGGCCTGTCCCCCGGCTACGGCGTGGCGCTGGTGGCGGAGACCACCTCCGGCCGCATGCTGTGCGCCGAGGCGTGCGCCGAGCTTGGAAAAGCGAGCCAGAGCACGGCAGAGGACGTGGGCAGGGCGGCGGCCGCGGCGCTGCTGGAAGAGGTGTCGCGTGGCGGCGTGGCCGACTCTATGCACCAAGCCCTGGTGCTCACGCTGTGCGCGCTGGGGCCGGAGGAGATCAACGAGGTCCGGCTGGGCCCGCTCACGCCCTATGCAGGTGCGCTGAGGAATAGGAACGGCAGGGTAGGGGAAAGGGGAAGGGGGTGAGGTCCTGGGACGGTGATACTGCTTGGCAGCTGCAGAGACGCGGGGGGGTGATGCTGTTGGTGTGTGGGGTGGATCTCTGCGTTGGCAACCAGGGTCCTGGAGCCAGACGGCAGGCTCACCCCACCCTGGGCCTACCCTTCCCCCCATTCACTCGCGCAGTGGGGACGCTGAGGCACCTGCGCGACTTCTTCAACGTCCAGTTCAGTATCCGGCCCGAGGAGGAGACCCGGACCATCTTCCTCTCGTGCGTGGGCGCGGGCGTTAAGAACCTGAGCAAGAAGATTGCGTGACCCCAGAGCTGTTACACCGCGTGAGCACAGGACAGGAGGGCACCGAGGGTGGTTGGAGAGTGCAGAGCGCCCCCCGCCACTGCCGCGCCGTGTCAGACCCAGAACCGGCGGTTTTTGGCCTGGTGCAGGGCCGTGGCGGCGTCGATTTCCAGGCCTGGGCCCCTCAGCGCCAGCTGCTGCAGCGCGTGCTTGGCCGCCCGACCCCGCGCCGCCGCACGCCCCGCCTCCCGCGCCCGCCCCAGGCGCCCGCCGTCCTGGGAGGGCTGGCGCACCAGCTCCCGCAGCTCCTGCAGCTTCCTCGCGACTTCCGCAGCCGCGGGGGGTCGGCCCCCGGGGTCCACATCCAGGTCGAGGCCGAAGTCTGCGCCCTCTGGCGGCTCCAGGATCTCTTCACCCTCGTCCTCGACGAGGGCGCCGCTGCTGGTGCCCTGTGCACCCGCCGGCAGCCCCCTCCCGCCCCCGCCGGGCGTCCACTCCGGGCCTCTCGGCGTCGACCCCGGTCGGGCCGGCCCCTGGACCTGCAGATACCCAAACACGAGGGAGAGGAGCTCCTGGGTGGGCGGCGGCGCCAAGCGGATGTAGCCCGACAGCTCCCAGGCAGCCACCCAGCGCAGCTCCTGCTCCTGCAGACCCTGCAGCTGCCCGCTCCATCGATGGCACACTGGGTTTGTGAGGAGAGGGATGAGGCTGAGGGGCGGAGGAGATTGGGGAAAATGGGGCCCATCAGCCAGGAAAGAGAGGTCGAGAACGAGCGAAATGATGGTGGGCAGAGCTGTCGCAGTGTCCTGTCACACGGATGCCGTCAGCTATCCTGTCCCCAGGAAAAAGGGCACAGGCTGCCGGCACGCCTCTTCACATGCCCCCCGCTCGTCGACCACGACTCACCAAACAGCATGCAAATGAAGTTGTGGCCGAGGCGTACATAGTGGTGCGACACGAAGCCGAGGGGGTTCAGCGCGCTGGGCGAGATCTGGAAAGGAGGGCGCATGGAGGGCAGGGGTGGCGAGATGTCCGACGAAGCCATGCACCCACTTCACTGTGCACCAGCGCCCAGCACCTTCCTCAGCAGCAACTGCACAGCACCTCCATTCGCGCATCCCATTGCAGAGACGCCCCTCCCTACCTCTATGCCTAGCTCCTCATTCATTTCCCTGATGACGGCAGCCTGGGGGGTCTCATTGGGTTTGAGCTGCGAGGTGTTTGTTGGGAGACGGTTCGATGATTGGGGATGCGACAAGATCACACACAGCGTGAGTGCACAGTATTCCCAAAACCTACCAACAATCGTGCGACACACTGCACAGTCGTCCGGGGGCTTTCACGAAAAGCACCAGAGAGAGCCTGTCCCCTCACATCCCGTAACAGAGGAGGCAGCCGGTCCCACAGCGCGCCAACCCACCCACCTTCCCTCCTGGAAGCTCGAAGAAGCCTCGAAGGCGGTGGTTGCCATGCTGACGCATGGCGAGCAGCACCCGCCCCCGGCACACCAGGGCGCACCCAGCGACCATGACATTTGGCACCGACTTGGCGGCCAGGTCGCCGGCCTGCGCCTGGCCCGTGGTCGACGGCGGGGTGGGTGTGCCAGGCGCACCTGCGCCGTTGCTCGACGCCTGGGCGGCGGTCGAGGCGGCGCTTGCCATGGGGCCGGGCGCAGGCTGGCGCTGACCCGCGGCCTGCAATGAGATGGCAGTGGCGGTGCCGCCATTGGACCTGGGCGTCTGTCTTCCCCCTCCACTGCTGCCAGGAGCGAGGGAGGGCGCCTTGCCATTCAGGAGGGCACCCTGGCCTGCATTCGCCTGGACCACGGCTCCGTTGGGTGACGTCGCCGGCGCTCGCATGGAAGTTTCCACGGATTTGAGCCCAGCATCGACTCGCTGCGGCACCCGCGCAGACTGCGCCGAGGCATGCGCGTGCCCGGTCTTTCGTGGGGCCGGTGCATCTGCCGTACCTGCGGCAGCAGCGGGCTTCTCCTGGGCTCCCGACTGGTGCCTGGCACCGTGCGCCTTGCTGCTGGGCGGGGGAGAGGGCCTGGGCACGGTGTGCGGAGGCCACCACCCGCTCTCCAGCTCCAGCACCCGCACCTCCCCCTTGCCTGACGCGCCAGGGGGAGCCGATGACCGGGGGGACTTGGGCTTGCGCGGCAAGCTTTGTAGGGCCTGCTCCCTCCTGGTGAGGCTGGCGGCCCCCTGAACCCTCTCATCAGACGGCCCATCAGGCTGGGGACGTAGTCGAGCCTTCGCCCACCGCGCCGGGGCACGCTTGCCGCCCCGGCCCTCCTCGGGCGTCCCCTTCAGGGCCCGACTGGCGTGCCCGGCACCCTCCTTGGCAGACGCATGCACGCCGCGGGGCTGTCGCATGCATCCATAGGGACTGAAGCTCATCGCAGCATCCGGGGGCGGGCGGCAGCCCCTCGTCGAAGGAGGGACGGATGGTAAAATGGAGTCCCTGCCTGCCTAGCTCGCTGGGGAACGGGGCCGACCTCGCCACCAAATCAGGTCATTCCGACGACTCCCAGCCCTGGTTGGTCAGTACTCGGGCCTTGGAAACATTACGAAAGCATGTGTCGCTTGCATACTGGCGTTGTCGGGCCCAAGCAACGGGCGCCACAAAATTACTCGGGGCAGCTTGCACGCTGTGCACGCCCAGCACGGCACTTATCCCATGGGGGAGGTCCCCATGGGCGGTGGTGGAGCCAGTCGTCCCACCCAATGACAGAGCACTTGAGACGCTTGTGGCACCCCTCATCGGTGCTCGCTGGAGTAGCTGGCTTCTTCCTCCATCTCTGCACCGCTCCGCCAAGGCAAGGGGGGAGCTGAGTGGCCAGCACATATGGCACCGGCACGCTCCTTCTCCGTAGGGTACAGCCGCAAATCCCTCTTCCCAAACTCCTCCAGCCCTTACCTTCGTCGGAGTCCACGAGGAAGGAGTCCTCCAGGTCATACTCGTCCTGGGTGCCCTCGTGGGCACCGGGGGTGTCAGCCACTTCCCGGCGCCGGCCCCGTGCTTGCTGTAGGTACCGCCCGAACTGGCCCAGCGGCGACGGCGTGGCCCCAAAGATCCGAGGTGGGGGGCCGGCCGGCAGCCCTCCCGGGGTGTGGCCACCGTCGTCGATGAAGCTGGCCATTTCTGCGACATACTGGCTCTCACTCACGTCCTCATCCCCTGCAGGGCGTGTGGTCATGGGCACGGCGGATGGACAAATGGGCCTCGCGGATGTTCAACACCCCTTGCCTCCTGCACCCGCACAGTACCTGAGTCAGACCCTGACAGCGCCGCTGCATCGTCTATGAAGCGAGACGGCGCTCTGCCGGGCTTGGGGGCTGGCCGCGGTGCGAGTTGTCCCCCGCTCCGGCCAGGTCGGGCCTCGGCCGTGCCCGCGCCGGCTTGCGCCCTCTTGGCCAGCTGCCGTGGCGGCCCCTTGCTCATTCGGCTAAGGGCGTGACCTGCCGGGACGCACACAAAGGGCGGCAGCATGTCGTGAGCTCAGGAAAGGCGAACTGTCTGCATGCCCAGAGCTGGTTCTCAGGCCGACGCGCCCCCTCCCCGCTTCCATCATACTCGAGCCTCCCCGAGTGGCCACAGCCAGACCCACCCGGGGCGGGGCAGCCGTCTTGAGATGCCAGGCATGGGGTCGGGTCCGGGGAGAGGCAGATGCCGCCCAGCGCCGGCGGCGTCTGGCTGTCCAGCAAGCGCCGCGCTCTCCTCCCGGCACCGGGCAGGGCCATCGGGGTGGTGTCCTGGGCCTGAGAGGGCAGGCGCTCCCCTCCCGCGCCTTCCCCACGCACCTCCACGGGGTTGCAACAAAGGGAGGCCACCGGACTGGGCCCCGGCTCGAGCCCCGTGCACTCCCAGCTGCTCTCCGCCTGCCAGCTGACAGAGGCCCAACTGGCGCTCTTCTCAAGCAGATCCCCGGAACCTGGTTTGGCGCCCGCCTCCGGCCTGTTTTCCTTGTCGGCCATGGAGCCGCCCTCGATCCGCGCCGTTGTCGGGCCGGGATCTGTGGGAGCGGCACTCTGCGGAGCTCCCATGAACCCACCCCTGGGCTCCTCCCCAGCTGCCCACGCCCCCACGCCCCCACTCCCCCGTCGATCACCGACCGCCCTCGCTACCGCGCGGGACAGGCCGAGCCGCCTCGTCCGGCTGCTTGTTCCGGATCCCGCGCCCGTCAGGACGTCCATGCAGCCGGGGAGCGCGAGGCAGGGGCCGGCGCCGTCTGCCTCGCGGAGCGCGGAAGGCAGGAGCAGGGCGGAAGCCTGGGCCAGGGTGGCCCGGTCCACGGGTTGCGCGGGCGGCCGGGGCCGTGTGGGCGCAGGCGGCGGTGCAGCCCGCTTCATATGCTCGTGGTGGGTTCCCTGATCGGCACCGCCCGCGCCGCGCAGCGTGGCAGCCGATGGAAGCCCTGCATCCGGGGCCGACCCCGGGGCGCCGCCGGCGGACTTTGTGCCGCCGCGCTTGCCAGAGCCGGCGCCGGTCGCCCGACGCCGCTTGGGGGCCTTGCCGGCTTCTGTACTCTCCTGCTGCCGCAAGGGGGAAAAGGTGCGGAGGATCGAGGGCTTAGACGCGCCGCTTCAACCTACTTAAATGTGAGGGTGTGGCTCCTTGTTGTTCATATCGCCCCTGGGAAGCACGCGAAACCACCAGAGTCACACCACCTCCGCACCTGGCAGCCGCCGCTGGTGTCAACCTGGAGTGCTAGCTGGAGCTCCATGGGCGGAGGTCCCTCAGGCAGCGGTCCAGGCAAGGGCGCGGGGAGGGCAAAGGAGGCTGCAGCCGTACTCAGCAGTTCCTCTATGCGTGCCATGCCCTGGCAAGGGGCATGGGAGGGAGCAGGTTCGGCCTGGCACGTCATCACAGTACTCGGTCCCATGTCACGAGCTGTTTTCATGGAGCCGCCAGAATTGAAGGGGGCCTCGCTTTGGCAGAGGCATGCGCTGCTCCAGTACACTTGCCCCAACTCCGTCGAGCACATCTGCCAGAAACGGCCGCTCCCCCTTAAACACGCCCCAGAGACACCAATCAACCTCTCGCCTTGTCAGCAGCCCGCGCCCGCGCCGCCTCACCCCCTGCGGTCAGCAGCCGGAGGAAGCGAGCGGGGCGGGCCCGGCCCCGTAGACCCAGGAGGTGCAGCAGGGCATGCGGCGTGGCGGCGCCGTCCAGGGCTACCACCAGGTCGGCCACCGCCAGCGACTCCCTTTCCTCCTCGTGGCAGCAGTCCGGCGGCAGCACCAGGACGTTCAGGGTGCCAGACCGGAAGGCGGCCAGCGCCGCGCGCGCCTCCCGCACCGCCTGCGCCGGGCCGGTCGAGGGCGCGGCGGAGCGCGCGGACCCCGACCCCGCACCCTTCCCGCTGGCGCCGGCCTTGGGCATCCAGGTGCCGGCCCGGACCCCAGGGGCTTGGGACAGGTCGGCGGCCAGCCCAGCAAAACTGGGCCGGTGGCTCATGCAGACCAGCATGCGCGAGCTCGTGTGTTCCTGCGAGTGTGTTTTGGCGGGGTGCATTGGGGCGCTCGTCTGGTTGGGGGGAGGCCCACGTGAGTGTGTACGGCTGAAGTCAATGCGTGCACAGCACAGGGATGGGCTGGACCCATAAAGTACCTGGAGCTGGGCTTCCAGCAGGGACTGGAGGGCGGCCAGTTTCGGGCAGGCGGCGCCGCTCCTCGCAGCCACCTCCAGCTCGGCCTTGAACTGCGGGGGTTGCGGCGGCATTGAGCTGGCGGGTCATTTGTCAACAAGACAGCAAGGCGAGGGCGGATGAGCAGTGCCACAGTGCCTAAGAAACAGGCTGGGACCCCTGCTCTGAGCTTGGGAAACAACCCTCTTCCCGGCCGGGACCGCCAGCCATGTGCCCTGTTCTACCCCCTCCCTCCCCACTCCTGCTCCTTCAGCCTCCCACATACCTGCGCAAAGTCGCGGCTGGAGGCCACCAGCCGGTGGGCCGAGGTGTCGGCCGCCAGCGCGTCCAGCAGCACCGCCTGGGCGGCCTGTGGGCCCCAGGCCTCCAACGCCTCCCGCAGGCGCAGCGCTAGAAAAGCGTGGCGCAGCGTGGCGCGCGGCTGCGGGCCGGACCCCGGCAGGGCAATGGAATCCAGGGCCGAAGAGGTCAAGCCCTCCGCCGTCTCGCCGGGCGCCAGCAGCTGCAAGGGTGGGGTAGGCTTTTGGGGGGGAAATCAAGGGCACATGGCGGTCTTTGGTGAGAGCGTATGACTCCCCTTCTAGCCAGGGCGGAACCCCCTCCAGCTGACCAAGCCCCCCGAGCTTGCAGTCCCTCCTCCTTCATCCCCAGGCCCCACGTTGGCGTTTGCCAGCTGGCGGATGAGGGGCCGTAGCGTGCGCAGCAGGGCGTCGAGCAGTCTCGAGGCCTCCGGAGCAGGGGTGAGGATCCGGTCCACGCGCTCCATCGGAACCCGCAGGGCGCCGAGGTCGGGGTGCCGCTCGCCGCGGCAACACACGCGACGGATGGCCAGCCCGGTGAGCGCCTCCTGCACCTGGGCGGGCGGCAGGCACGGAAGAAAGGAGGAGAAGGCCAGCACGCGCGTGCGCAGACGCCGCCGCGTCAGGGTGCGCACCACCTCCACCGCGTCCGACCGGGCGGACGCGGCATGCGCGTCGACCACCACCAGGCAGGCCAGCTGGTCGTACGCGCAGACGCCTGGTTGGTGGAGGGAGGGGGGGGAGAGGGAGGGAGAAGCCTGTCAGGAATGGGGACAAGCATCACGGGCAGAGGCACGGCCCAGCACACGTCGGGCACCCTGGCTGTGGAGGGACAGGCGCAGCACGGCTTGCGGCCTCTCCACTCCCGCTCTCTCGCCGCACGCACCCCGCTTCACGTCGCTCCAGAGCGTGGCGGGGGTGCAGAAGAAGGCGCGCTTGTGGTCCTGGGACCAGGCCTCCTTGCGCGCCTCCTGCTTGGAGGCCGAGGAGAAGTCGGAGATGCACGCCGCGTCCAGGCCGGTGACCCTCTGGCAAGCCTCCACCTGGCTCTTCAGCTGCCACCTGGCGGGCGCCACAAACGCAACCTTGCCCTGGTGGACGCAAGGAATTGAGGGGGCATGGCGTGGGATCGTGGTATCGCGATGACATGAGGCGAGAGGACGTCGCGCAGCCTTTCCGAAGACGGTGCAAGCTGCGACTGTCAGATTCCCACAGTCACCAAGATCTGATACCCACCCTGTGCAGGCTCCCCAGCCCACCCGCCACACCTGGGGGAGCCACCGCAGGAAGTTCAGCATGACGACGGCGGCGATGCTTGCCTGCCCCGATCCCTCTGGCATGGCCACGAGGGTGTTGTCCTGGAAGGCGGCCAGCACAGCCTCCTTCTGGCATGGTAGGAGTGGGTGCAGGGAAGGCGACACCCAGTAGGCCCCTGCTCCCCTGCAGAGTCAGGTGTTGTTATGGGAGTGGGTGGCTGTACATGCGTATCAACAAGTGCTCGCGTGTGAAAGCTTGGCAGCAAGGATATGGACTTGCAGGAATGCGGCGCTGAGCTGGACAGTGATAAAGGGTGCCACTGACACACCCTAGCTTGACCGCACAGTGTAGCATACACTGGCGGCTCCCACACAAACCTCTCGTCCTGCCGTGTGGCGGGAGGCTGCAGGTTGCTCTCCATCTTGCCCAGGCCGTCTCCAGCCAACTCCTTGCCTAGCTCAAGTTCAGGCGAAAACGCTTCCATGCTGCAAGAACTTGGGGGCTTGTCTGGCATGGGGACTGGTGTCGGGACACAGGAGAGATCAATGTCTGTAGTCAGGTCGTAAGCAGCACTGGCCATGGGTGTGGCAACAGGAAGGCTGGTGTCCTCATGCCCGTGCTCCCTCCTGCCCTGATCCATATCTGTGGGCCCTCTCTCGCCACTCAACGCCAGCCCCGGAGCTGACACTGGGGCTGCTGGGTGTTGGGAGCGGGTCTGATGCCCGCTCTTCACCCCATGGGCTGTATCGCACAAGATGTGCTCCGGCGCAGAGGCCTGGGGCTTGCTCGGTGGAGGTTGGTCCATGAGCAGCGCCCGCATTGGTGATGCTGCGTCTTCAGAGTCCTGGCGACAACTCGAAGGCCTGGCCGCCTGGGGATGAAGGGAAGGCGTATTGCAGGCTGGACTATTATCTTGAAAGACTTCAATCTGCTACGTTCGTGATGACGTGGTCTGCACGCATGGTCTCACCCCCTCAGGGCTGAAGCCAGAGGGACAGGCAGCTGCATCCTCAAGCAAGGCTGCCATGTCCGAATCAAGGCCACGCCGGGAGGCCAGAGCCTGCGCCTCGATCTGATCCAGGGCTTCGAAGTCCTGGAAGGTGGAGGAGTCTCGGGAATCGGTCAGATTCCACAGGGGGCGTCACAGATATGGTGAGATCAGCTGCATGCCGCGCCTTCGTCTGCCAAAGGAACCCCATGCTGTGCATGCATGCCCTGGCTCACCCAGGCATCGTCCTCATCCTTCATCGAGGGTCCAAGATGCTCAGGCATGGATCTTCATCGCGAGGTCGCCTCGTAAAAGAATGGCTCGGAGTGGCGGGGCAATGGCATATCGAGCTCCCGACGCCCGAGCATCGTGTCAAGGGATCCTGCTCCTGGGATACGCAGTCAGGTACATGTGAAACTCACAGGTTCAGCCTATGGGCGTCGCTCTCTCAGACTGTGATCGCAAGGGAAAGATCACCAGTCCGCGCGCGCTGCACCAGGACAGCTGATTCTAATTCACCCGACGAGGAAAGGGCAGACATACGCATGCCTCCATGCGAATTACAACCAGGAAGCACGCAACTGGAAGCATCATGACATTATTTCTTCCTGTGTGACGAGTGTGTGCTGGTTTTCGTCTTTTGTGATTCGCCACATGTACTCCGCATGCTCGCGAATGCCAATCAACCTGGTGTGCACGTGGAGAGGGGCTGCGGGTGTGAGGGTTCCTATCATGCAGCGAGCAGACATGTAAGCCGTCCCAGCTGCTCACCTTGCGAAGGTCTCGTCGTGCGTGATGACGATGAGCCTGCACGGTTGGGTTGGAGCGTGGGAGCGTGTGAGAAGCTGTATAGCTTTACCCTCGCAACATGTAATAGCAGGCCTCGCAAGCCAGGGGTGCCCAAGCATTCGCCAAGTGGCCTCGTTCCCCCACGCACTGGAAGTTCTCCTGGCTCTGTCGGGAAAGAATTATTTGCCGCAGCGCCTCTGCCAAGCTCGCCGAATTTGCTGTAACAGGGGTGGGTGCTGGGATTAGAAGCTGATGTTTGAGCCTGCAGGGGTGTCGGGAGTACAGCACGCACAGGCCCGGCATCCCCGCTGCTGCAACCCGATGGTCTGGGCGGCTACTCCCCAAGGGAATTCACGACTGGAACCAGACAAGCTGTGGCAAGCTCATGCAGACGTCTGCTCAGGATGCCACCAAGCAGGCCAGCCTGTCGTCCACTAGGCCCCCCCACTGGCCTCTTGGAACCCCCACCTGCATCCAGGTTTGTCGTCGGCTCGTCCAGAGCCAGGATGCCGCACTTGAGGCAGAACGTCTCTGCCAGTGCTAATCTGATGATCAAGCATGCCAGGATCTGTGCCGCAGGCAAGCACGAAGGATGGGTCGGAGTGTGGCAATCGGGACGGTACCCATGGTGGCATAGAGCTGGTTCAGCCAGCAAGCGTGTGAATACTGCTCCTCCAGGCTCTGCAAATCTGATCCAGGCATCTGGGCACAGCAAAGGACACAGGATCCGATGCAATCACCAACCTGCCCATGCCACCTTTTGCCCAGCGCTGCACCGCCCTCGCATGTCCAGCTCGGCGCCTCCGCAGTACATGACCACCCGGTAGTTGTACGATCGGCCTGCCGCGCCCTCGGCATCTGCCTTCACCTGCAGGGGGCATCAGGGAGGGACTGGCGGGCAGCATCCCCACAGGATGCAGATTGTTTGCCGCCTGTTGTCTTCCCACGGAGAATGCAGCAGCATGAGTACACTTGAGCGCACGAGGCCACCCTCATTTCGCCGCCAGACGTGCCTGAATGTAGTCAATGTCAGCTGACCGGTACGTCTGCTGCCACAGCTCCTTGATGGCCTTGTTGATGTCATGCATCTTGGTGGTGTGGAAACTAAGCAGCGCTTTCTCGAGGGCCTGCAGGGTTTGGGTGGGGAAGGGGGGGGCACATGGGAGACCTGGCAGCTGGGAAGGATCTCGACCTTGCCCAACGTGTCGAGCAGCGATTTTCCGTGGAGAAACATGAAGGAGAGTGTCCCTTCAACACAGCGCAGCGCACCCTTCCCACTTCCACAGCGCCACTCCTTGAGGACAGCACGTGGGGCACCGTCCCTCACACGCGCAGGGGCGTCCCCAACTTCAGCCCCGCCAGCCAGAGCCCCAGCTCAGTGCCCAGCCCACCTTGTGGTACTTCTCCAGGTCGGTGTTTGCCAGCTCGGTGGTCTTCAGCTCGATCAGCTGCTTGCGGTATCGCGTGTCTATCCCCTGGAACTGCGGCTCGTCCAGGTCTGTCTGCGCACTCTGGACCTGCAGCAGGTGGGGGATGGCATGCACTGAGACATGCTTGGGTGTCCGAATGCGACCATGCACCAGCGACCGTGCAGCGGGAGCATCGACGGCGAGGGAAGAAGCACAGGACCCCGAGAAGGCTTTCAGGCACGCTCCCCTGCATAACCTCCCCCCTGCCCAGGGTCAGTATGGCCACCGCCGTTAACAGCGCACGTTATCCCGGATGGTGCGCAGGGAGCCCACGCTCTGGTCCTGCTTGGACCTGAGCCTCGCCAGCTCCTCCTGCAGCTGGAGGCCGCGGGCCTCCAGACTCTCCCCATCCTCCCCCTGGGTGTTGGGAAAGGAGTCATGTGTCGGGTGAGTGGGGCGCCATTGCGCCCAGGCCTGCAGCATGCAGGGAGAGGCCTTGACCCCCGGCCGCATGATGCGATTTAATGCCCAGCAGGGCAGGGGTTGGGAACACACAAAGCTCTTCACCATGTCTTGATGTCCCGTGGTCAAACCGCCCGCCCATCCTTACCAACACCTCCTCTGCTCCCATGGTCTGCGCCAGGCTGGCGAGCTCCTGGGCCATGCCCTCCTCCTGCGACAGGCTGCGCCGGTAGGCTAGCAGGTCCTGGATCTGCCTTCGAAGCTTCTCCTGCTCGGCCGCCGAGCCCTCCAGCTCCGCCAGCTCCTCCCTCAGGGACTGTCGGGTTTGAAGAGAAAGGGGGAAGTGGGGGTTGTCAGGCACATGCAGCGTCATGGATCGACTTTCTCAAAGCCTGCCCGACTCTCTCTCATCGCCCCTCCCCGGACCCTTTGCTGGCGGCCACGCCACTCTCTCTATCCACTTCATTCTCGCCTGCGTTCAGCCACGCCCCCTCCCTCATCCCCCCCCCTCCCCATACCCCAATCGCACCTGGACCTCGGCCTCCAGCGTTGACTGCCGCAACGCCAGGCCCTGCAGCTCGCGCTCCACGCGCTCGAGCTCCCCCGCCCCGCGCACGGCGTCATGCCGCGCGACGGCCGCCAGCCGCGCCTCCAGGTCCCGCACAGCGTCTTGCGCCCGCCGGCGCGCGGCCTCCGCGTCCTCCTCCGCGGCGCGCGCGCGCTCCCGCGCCGTCGCCCGCTCCGCCTGCAGCCGCGCCTGGCGCCGCAGGCGCGGCGCGTGCGCCGACCGGGCCTCCTCCACGCCGGCGCGCAGCGCCTCTCCCTCGGCACGCAGCTCCGCCACACGGGCGGCCAGGTCGGCGGCGCGCTGCGCGGCCGCGCGCAGCGTCAGCGCCTCCTCGCGCGCGGCCGCCAGGTCGGCGGCCAGGGAGGCCAGCAGCTCGCGCGCCGCGGACTGCCGCGCCAGCAGCTCCTCCCGCCGCGCCTCAGCGGACAGGCGCTCGCGCTCCAAGGCCGCCAGCTCGGCATCCAGGTCGGCGACTGGAGCTCGTGGGGGTGTGGGGTGGAAGTGGGTGCGCGGACGTGGCTGTGTTGCAGCGGTGCGGTGCAAGGGACTGGCGGATGAATGTGCATGGGCAACTCGTGTGCGCCGGTGCCAGCAAACATGTGAGGAGTGTCGACTGGCCACCCTCGAGGCACAGTGAGGCCCCCCTCCTGCATCTCTGTCTCCAACCCCCCTCTCCTCCCCACCCTCGAGTGTTCCCTCCCCCCACCCGAGGCCTGGGAGGCACTGGCTTGCACGCTCCCGCTCAGCTGGCCGATCTCCGCCTCCAGGTCGCTGCACGGAGGGCCATTGGGCGGGGTTGTGCCAGGCATCTTCCGTCTCTGGACGGCCACAGGGGAACGTTTGTCCCCGTCAACCACGATATTAGATGCAGGAGTTAAGCTTGCAACACAGCATCCTCTCCCTTCAACCCCCATGCGCACACGTGCACTCTCCCAACCGAGATCTCAAACCTGATCTCCGCCGCCAGCTTGTCGGCCGGCCAGGCCACGGTCTCGAGCAGCCCCCGCGCCTCCTGGAGCAGGTGCACGGCCTCCGCCACGCCCTCCTCCCGCAGCTCGGCCTCGCCGCGCGCGGTGGCCAGCGCCGACTCTAGGCCGCTGCAGGCGGCCTCCAGCTCCGGCAGCGTGGTGTCGCGCAGGCGGTCGTGGCGTGCGGCAATGGGCGCCAGGCCCTGCAGTCGGGCCAGGCGTGCCTCTGCGTCGCGCAGGGCGGCCTCCCATGCGCCGCGTGCGCTGGGCAGCTTTGCGCGCTCCCGCTCCTGCCGCGCCAGGAAGGCCTCCAGCTCGCCGGCGTCGTGGAAGGGGCGGCCGCAGGTGTGGCACGCATTGTGCTGGCGCGCGGTGCTCAGGAAGCGCTCGTTCATAGTCAGGAAGGCATCGGCCTGTGTCGGGTGGGCAGGGGAGGCGGGGAGCTGGTTGTGGGGCGCTGGGTCTGGAGCGGGGCAAAGGTACCTATCTAGGTCCAGGGAGCTGCTGCTGTCCAGATCCAATGGCACAGCACAGCACTGGAACGAACCAGCCACATCCAGAGGCCCCATCCCACCCTCTTCATTTCAACACACACACACACACCTCCCCTCACATCACATCACGACCAACACCCACGCACTGTCTTCAGCTTGTGCACGTTGCTGGCCTTCTCCTCCTCCAGCCGGCGCTGGCAAAGCGCCACGTCGGCCGCCATGTCATCCGCCGCATCAGCAGCTGCGTCGGCAGCTCCTGCACCCCCACCCACGCCCTCCAGCCCGCGCCGCAGTCGGCCGGCCAGCTCCGCCAGCTCGCTCCGCGCTGCTTCGGTCTGTGCGCGCAGGCCTCCCAGCTGGCCCGCCAGCTCAGCGGCGCGCGCCTGTGTGGCGGCCAGCTCCCCGCGCTGCGCGGCCAGCGCTGCCGCCCGCGTCTCCACCTCAGCCTCCACCGCAGCGCGGATCTGGCTGGGGGTCGGCGCCGGGGCGTACGGGCCCAGCAGGGCCGCCAGGAGCGGCGCCGCCGCCCCCAGCAGCGCCGCGGCCTCCCCGCGCTTGCGCGTCAGCTCGGTGCGGCGCAGGCGCGCGCGCGTGGCGCCCTCCCCGACGCTGCTCGCGCGGTCCCGCTCCCGGCGCAGCGACGCCAGGCGCACGCGCAACGTCGCCAGCTCCGACTGGCAAGCCAGGAGGTGGGCCTCGAAGTCGGCAACCCGGTACACGCCCTCTGCCTCGGCCAGGCGCCGGGCCAGGCCCGCCTCGTGCGCCGCGGCCTCCTCCACGGCCGCCGAGCTGGGCGCGGCGGGCGGCAGCCGGGCCGAAGCCTCGTGGAGCAGGGCGGTGTTGCGCTCCAACCGCCCCTCGCTCAGCCGCACGCCCTCCGCCGCGCCGGCTAGCTCGGCGTTCACCTGGGGAGGGGTGGACGGGGTGGAGTGGGTGCGTCGGGGGAGGGCGATCTGGTGCGGTCAAGGATGCACCGAGCGAGGGGAGGCGCGGTTGTCCCCGTTTTCCCTGAGTGCACTTTCCCATTCTGGGCCAGGCTTTCTGATCCAGGATGTATCGAGGAAGCCAGTGTTATGCGAGACAGACACAGGTTGAAAAAAACCTTCTCATGCTGCTCCCTCCTCAAAGTGACGACTTAAACCCCCTCTCCTTCCCCCCTCCTACAACGCAAAGATCCCCACTCAGGCAGCCAGCCCACCGCATCGAGCGCTGCGCTGAGCTCGGCGTCGGCTGATGCGTGCGCGCTGCGCATGCTGGCAGCCTGAGCCTCCAGGGCTGCGGCCTGCTCCCTGCAGGCCGTGACCACCCGCTCAACATCTGGCTGCTCCCATCGCAGTCCAGTCTGCGACCCGGGCAAGCCCATGCCTGCAGCCATTGATGGGGTGTCAGTGTAGGTGCAAGAAGGGCTCCGATCAGAGAAGTGGGCAGGCGCTGCAACCTCAGGACCCCAATCATGGTGAGGTGCCGAGGCAGCACGAGACTCACCTTACTCATGAGCATAGCACCCCACAGGCCACCCACCTGCAGCCAGTCTCCCAAGGAAGGCATCCCTTTCCTCCAGGGCACGAGCGTGGGCCTCAGCTTCGGCCGTGAGTTGGCCCTGCAGACGCGGTCGGGAGGGAGCGTAAAAAGCATGCGCACGGTGCCCAAGTGCCACAGACACGCTCCATTCAGGCATGCGCGGCAGGTGGACAACCTTTCCCTAGAATGGGACACATCGTGGCTGGCACCACAGCCACCCACCTGGCGCCTCGTGGCACGTTGCACCTGCTCCTTTGCCCCCGAAACATCCGCCTGTCGCTGTGCGAGCCTTTGCTCCAGCCTGAGGTATTCAAGAAAAGATGAATGTCGTGCGAGGCATTGGGGAGCAGAAACTATCCAAGACTGTTGTCGCGGGCAAGCCACCTTGCTGGCAATGCACAAGCCCCTTCTTCTGGACCAAATGTCAACCCAATCCACTTCCCAGTGCAACATCCCACCTGGCGGCATCGGCACTGGCGGCCTGGGTCTCTGGGGCAAGGGAGGCATCCCACTCCTCCAGCTCCTCCAGACTGATGCCGACGTCCTCCTCCCCATACGCACTCTGTTGTTGCGTCAGCAGGCATGCACTAGTGTCCAAGGCAGCCAAAAGCCTTGCCACGCAAGCGGGTCAGAAAGACCAGGCATGACGGAGGAAGGTGTCACGCCAGTGGCACACCCGCCTGCTGCGCGCCCCTGCCCGCCGCCCACTCACCACCAGTCGGGCGCGGTTCTCGGAGTTGTGCTGCGATAGCATATGGTGCTGGGCCTCCAGCTGGCGGCGCTGCTGCTCCACGCCCCTGATGGCGGCCTGCTGCTGGAGGACAGTCTCCATCTCGGCCTGGACTGTCTGCGAGGGTACGGCAGCAGGAGGAAAGGAATGAGAGCGGCAATGGCGCTGAAGGGACTGCGTGGTGGCTCTTGCTGGGGACGCAGGGTAGTGCTGGACCATGGCTGGCAGGCTCCACCACCTGGACTCCCGGCCACACACTCCATGCCCGGCCTCCCTCAACCTCACGGCTCGGTCCCTGCCGGCATGCTGACAACCCCACCTTCCCACACCCCTCTTCCCACCCTCACCTCGATGCGGCGCTGCAGCTCCGTGATCCTTGCCTCCAGCGAGGCCAGCGCGTCCTCGCCCGCCTCCACCGCGCCCCGCAGCCTCTGACGGTTGTGTTGGTTTGAAGGAATCAGGGTGCGATCGCCGTCGCTGTGCATGTCCAACACGTGCTCCCTGCGCCGGATCCTGTGCGGCAGCCACAGTCTGTGCCGCCCACAGCCACACGCCCCTGAGCCCTGCCTCCATGCCGCTCCTCCCCAGCAAACCCTGGGTCCCCCACCCTCCTTGCTCCCCCCCTCCGCCGTCCCGCCCACCCGTGCGCCATCGCGGTGCGAGCGCAGGGTGTCCAGCCGCAGCCGCATCTCCCTGGCCTCCGCGGTCTTTTCGGAGCGCAGCTTGCGCAGCGCCTCCAGCGCCTTGGTGTAGCGCGTGGCGGCGAAAATGTCGTCGAAGCGCTTCTTCACCGCCTGCGCGTCGGCCAGCGGCCAGTTGCTGTCCTCCTGGTGTACGAACACCACCGACTCCAGCACCGCCGCCGACACGCCCATGAGCGAGGGGATGGCGCGGTCGATGTCGGCGCAGCGGTAGGAAAGCGCCTCGCGCGCCCCCGTGGCGCGGTTCACCGTCTGCAGAACATTGTCCAGCGCCTTGAAGGCCATGCTGGCCTTGCGCTGGGTGAGCTGGAAGGAGCGGATTACCACCACGGGCTGGCCCGCGCCGGTGATGAAGCGGAGCTTGATCTGGGCCTTGACCTCCGTCTCGCCAGCCACCTAGGTGCATTGGAGGAGGGGGGGGGAGTGTTGGAAGGGAGGGGGGTGTTTTGGGAGAGGGGTGGGGTGTTCGAGGGGGGGCAGGGGTTGGGGGGGGAAAGAGGGTTAGGGGGGGGAAGCGTGCGCGTTGGTGTGGAGATCCACGTTAATGGCATGATTGGGAGATGCGTGGGGGATGAGTGCAGGAACGGCGTCTGATGCAGACATACCCCATCCCACCCCCGCATGTGCGGAGTAGTACCTTAGGGTCGTGGACAAAGCTCTGCCCCGAACGAGTGTTGGGCGGGAGCTCCCCCGTGCAAGCCATCTTGAGGCATTCAATGACGGTCTGTCGAGGTGGAGGCAGAAGTGAATGTTTTCATGCGCATGCTGTGGCTGATGCACACCCTTGCTCCCTTAATGACCGATGGGTGGGCCGGCTGCCACTGCACCAGCATGCAGCGGCATGGGCCCCGGTCTGCACCGGTCACAGAAACCCACGCACCGTCTTTCCCGCTCCATTGTGACCCACAATGAGGGTGAGTGGCCTGTAGAACTCGATGACGGCCTGATTGTCGGGGCTGAAGGACCTGATGCCCTTGATCAGCATCTGGGCATGGTGTCGGAGGGGACGAGGGCAGACCATCGATCGATTTTGCGACGAGTGCAACGCCAATACAAACCAGCACGGCAACCCCACATATACTCATGCTTGCGCGCACCTTGTCGAGAGTGCAGGCCATGATGCCGCACTCCCCGGGGGCCCGTGGTGAAGCGATCCGCGCTCGACCCACCCAGCAGGCCACGGCTCAACAGCCTTTCACATCATCGTCGCGATGGATGGAATGTGTTGCATAGTCATGATGTAACGCATGGACGCGAGTGCGGACGTCCGGGCTGCTGCACTTAGGAAACTCGACTTCATGAGCGCATCCTCGCAGCACGGTGGGGTTGTGCATCAGCCACGGACTTCGCAATCAGAAATTTGATGCACAGCACCCCTCTTGACAAGATCATCGCACGGCTTACCAAAAGTCTGCTGCTCCTCCAACGTGGCAGCTGGGAGCAAAGCTTACTGTCACACCGCCACTTGTCCAGATGGGGGAGGACATCCAAGGATAATAGGGCTCACACGAATCATTTCACACACCGGGCAACATCTGAAAGGGACAGCTTGCTCTGTGAAATTCCCAACTCCGGCATTGGAGGTGGGGTTCGTGAAGTATTGAAAAGAACCCAACATGGTCTTGCATGTCTAATGGGCAAGTAACAGCCTGCTGGGCACATGTGTCCTCGGGAAAATTCCTAATCGACATCATATGCATAAGGCAAGGCAAGCGGGTGCCAAGCAGTGCAATTCTGTGGGCCATGCTGAGGTAATGACTTATTTGCCAATGAGGAGAGAGCTCTACAACCATTGTTATACTCGGATCCGGCAATGTCCAACAAGGACTTCAAGCCCCTTGCTTTAGAAGGCAACGCACATCCCCAGCCTGTCATGCTGACCAAGTTTGTGTATTGAGGTTTGGCCATGCTTTAACGGTACCAGGCCGGTTACTCTGTGCTCTGTGGTAGTTTCTGCAAGCATTCTGCACGAGAAGCATGGATCACTCCGGCCTGAAAGAATAGGAGGCGAGGACCTTGCCGCATTTGATGACAAGGTTAGCTGACCCTACGAGCCACGCATCCATTTTCGTACGGACTCCGTGAACCCCACCGCCACTGGCCACCGCCAGCGCACACTTCAGCGACCACTCAGAAGCTTGCTGAATACAATGGATAGCTTCGATTTTCGCCACAGTGCACCCGAGCATCGTGCCTCAGACCATGACGAATGCCTGAACAAAGCGAATCTTGCGGAAATCCTCCCCTCTCTTTAAAGCATTCGACGTGGGCCAGTACATTGCACGAGGCTTCGTCCACGATACAATTGGCACAATTTGTGTAACTGCTCAAAGGGGCGGAGGGCATGTGATGCGCAGAGGCGTCTCCTCATACTCACCCGGTGGCTCACCAGCACGGAGATACCGGGCAGGGGCCAAAACACACACGTGACTCGGACTATCATCATGGGCGGGGGCATGGGCGGGTGGGCACAATGTGAAGCCTTTCCCCCACGAACTCTCGCCCATCCCCGGAATCATACATCACTGCTCTCTTTCGGCCGGAGTGGGCCACTCCTATGCCCCTGATAGCTCCCTGTGAATGGCCACCCTTGTGACCATAGGCCACTCAAGCAGTCCCTCCAGCTTCGGAAGTCTTGTTCATCCTGCAGCATGCCGAGGAATGAGCCCTGATACCAACGACACGCCCAAATGGGCGCAGGGCGAGTCGTTCAGGAGGCGGGGTAAACGCGAGGTGGCCGAGTCCTTCATAGAACAGCTCCGGAAGCGGGAAGGTTTCGATGTGGACGCCCCGGGGTTCATCCAGGGGGTCCTGGAGCACTTCGACAGCCTGCCGTCGAGGTAAGATGGGGTCTAAATGATGTCGGTGGAGGCGGCTACGAGTCCGCGGGGCGTTTGCGAGTCCACCATCCCCACGGTTGCCACAGGTATGCCTTCGACGTCAACATCGAGTCCCTGGATGTGCTCAACCACAAGCGGCTGCTGGACAGTGCACGCGCTGAACCCAGCGCGGTGAGCTTCCAGGTCCGGCCCGTCGACGTGATAACGGGAACCGGCATCGCAGGCCGAGTGCCGTCCAACAGCTTCCTGACCGAGGGCTCCTTCGAGGTGCGCTGCGGCCGAGGTGTGGTTCTAGGGGATGAGCGGTTCTTTCGGAAAACCATGGCTGGCTCCCCATCCCGCTCTGCATGAGCCTGTGGGTGCTGGATGGGCGGTGGTCGCGCCGCCCGGCTACCATGTGGTATGAAGGCGACCAAGCCCGCCCCTGGCATGTCCCACGCCCTTGTGTCTGGAAATGCTGCCAGCACCTTCCACCCGCGTTGTGTACTTTGCCCCAGGCTCCCTTCCCACGTTTCACCTCCCCACCCCACCCCCCACCCTCCCGCAGACGCACCAGTCTGCGTCGCTGACGCCCCCCCCGCTGTCCCCGCTGCGCCACCTCCCGCGCCCGCTCCCGCGCCCCGCCTTCGGCTCCTCACCCAACCTCCAGGCCCTGGTGCTGGAGGCGGAGGAGCGGATGGAGGCGCAGGCCTCCAGCAACGTGCACGCCAGCCTGTCGGCCGCCGCCGTCTTCTACGAGGTGACCATCGCCTCCATCGACCAGCCCAAACTGCTCAGCCGGCTCAGCGAGTGCCTGGGCGACATCGGGCTGAACATATGCGAGGCGCACGCCTTCAACACGCGCGACCACTACTCCCTGGACGTCTTCGTGGTGAACGGCTGGTTCGGCGGCGGCAGCGAGGAGTTTGAGGAGACTCTGAGTCAGCGCCTGCAGGAGCTGCCGCCCCCGCTGGTGGCTGGCGCCCGCGGCGGCGCCGCAGGCGCGCGGGATGCCCCAGCGCAGCGCGGCGCGCAGGAGCACAGCAAGCCGCTGAGCCCGCTGTCGGAGCAGCGGGTGAACCCCGAGGACCTCCTGGGCCTGCAGCGGGTGAGGGTTCGGAGGTGGAGGGGTGGAAGGGTGTTCGGCGAGATCCTTGTGTGGCACTCGGGTGGTGGCGCGCACGTCGCCGGGGGGTTGAGGAGGGCCGCATGCGCACTGTACACCCCTCTTGAAACACACGCATCGTATGCGTGTGAGATACCCTTTATACACTCACTCACCAATCGACACGCACAGGAGGCATCTGGCGCGGCCGCGGGCTCCTCCCTGGACAGCGACTGGGAGCTGGACCCCAGCGACGTCATGTTCCATGAGAAGATCGCGTCCGGCGCGTTTGGCGACCTGTACCGCGGGTCGTACTGCGGGCAGGACGTGGCGATCAAGATCCTGCGCGCGGTGCAGGGCACTGCGGCCCAGTTCTCCGAATTCCTGCAGGAGATCGCCATCATGCGCAAGGTGCGCCACAAGAATGTGGTCCAGTTCATCGGCGCCTGCACCAAGAAGCCCAACCTGTGCATTGTATTCGAGTACATGCAGCGCGGCTCGGTCTACGAATACATCCGCAAGGTGCGTGTGTGGGGGGTTGGATTGTGGGGAAGTGAGGGGAGGAGGGGGAGGGGGTGGCGCTTTGGGGCTGGTGCATCCAGGGCGAGTATCGCAGCGTGCATGTGGTCTCAAAGGTCGGATGCCAGCACCAGGGTCCCCTGCCTCATCACCGCTGCGGGCTCGGGCTTGGGCGCATCACCCCCTCATCCTCCTCCCCTGCCTAAACCCCCAAAAATCAAACTGATCCCCCCCCCCCCAAACCACACACACACACACACCACCCAATTCCGTGCAGACGGGCCCGCTGCGCGTATCCCAGGTGCTCAAGTTTGCGCTGGAGGTGTGCCGCGGCATGGACTACCTGCACAAGCGGCGCATCGTGCACCGCGACCTGAAGGCCGCCAACCTGCTGCTGGACGAGACGGGGGTGGTGAAGATCGCGGACTTTGGCGTGGCCCGCGTGCTGGACCACACGGGCGTCATGACCGCGGAGACGGGGACGTACCGCTGGATGGCGCCAGAGGTGATCGAGCACCAGCCCTACGGCGTGGAGGCCGATGTCTTCTCCTTTGGCATCGTGCTCTGGGAACTGCTGACGGGGCGCGTGCCCTACGCCGACATGACCCCGCTCCAGGCCGCGGTGGGGGTGGTGCAGAAGGGCCTGCGCCCGCCGCTGCCGCTCAACTGCCCCCCCGCGCTGGCGGAGACCATGCGCGCCTGCTGGGTGCGCGACCCCGCCGCGCGGCCCACCTTCGAGCAACTCAAGGCGCGCATGGAGGAGCTGTACAACACGTACCGGAACCAGGACCGCCCCGAGGCGCTGGTTGGCGTTGCCGCGCCCGCGCCACCCAGCGCCGGCCCCTCGCCCGCGGCCACTCCGCGGGCTGGCTCCAGCGCCGCGTCCAACGCCTCCACCGGCGCGGGGGCAGTGGCGCCCTCGCAGCGCCCGGGCGCCGGCCAGCCGGCGGTGCCACGCCAGAAGTCGCAGCTGACAGGCGGGCTGCTGGCCCGGCTGCGCAGCAACTCCAACTCCTCCAAGTGATGGGGGGGGAGGGGGAGAAAGCGCGGCCGCCACACCGGCGTGTGCACGGTCCGAGGTTGGGAGGCCTGGAGGACGGCGGCGTGCGCCGCCTTTGGACCGTGCCTGGGATGCCGCGGCCGCCCAGCCGGGCCCAGCACGCATGCTGGGCCCCCTGCCCCACCCCCTTGGGGAACCCCCACCCACACACCTCGCCCCTCCTCCAGGGCGGCGGGTGTGTTCTGTCTGTGTGCAACTACGAGAGCTGAGAGCCCATGTGTCTCGAGAGTCCTCTTTTTTTCGATGCATGGCGTCGGCCCCTTCATCGCCCCCTCCCATGGGGGGATCACGCATGCACTCTGCATTGCCTCACCCCAAGCAGATTAACATCATGGCACATGCGCAATCACGCCAGAGCCTGGAGGGATACAAGCTCGAGAGTCAGTAGCCGTCAAAGAGCTCTGGGTAGTGCCTGGCCAACTCCCTCCCCGTGAGCTGTTCGGGGGGGATGCTCCCAGACAGGATGCCGGCCTCCCGATCCACCGCATCCTGTGCCACACGCGCTGCCCTCTCGGCGTCCCTTGTCTGCTTCCACTCCCGATACTCCTCGGCGGTGAGCTGGGGTGGTGGCGGGGGGCTGTGCTCCACGACTGGGTTCCCCATGCGAGGGACCCGGAGTGCGTCCTATGCTGCCAAGTGCCTTGATTGACGACAGCTGGGGATTACGCTAGGTTAGGTCACAAGATGTACATAGCCTGGGCAGTGGTCCCCTGAGATCTAATTGCCGACGAAATAGAAAAGGTTTGAGCATGTGTCGGGCTGCATGATCTGCACGACACGAATAACACATTATACGGGCAACCTGCATGGAGGGCAACTTGCTCGAATCCTCATTCATCGGCAAGCTGAATGTGTAAATCGATACTGGGTTGACTTTAGCACATCTATCTGAGGGCCCGCATGACCTAGTGAAACCCCTTCGACATGGGTCCCGCTGGTGCCACGCAGCATCTCGGCCTCCTCGCACTCATCATCGGCCTGCAGTGCATGGTATGTGCGTCATCTGGACCACACATCGGTGTCGTGGGCGCAGGGATCGGAGGGGCAGCATCAGCGCACTGGATTAGGAGCCTGCTGGGCGATCAAGTTCAGATCACTGTGTGAGTCATGGCCTCCTGCGCGGTGTGTCCAGATCCATGAGAAATACTGCCTTGTCTGAGATGCATGATACTCATAGGTTGGGGAGATGTCATATGTTCAAGGGTGTGATTGCCCCTCACCTGGCGCTGCATGACAGTCACAGGTTTGACTGAGTGCAGGTTTGAGAGGAGCACCAGCGTGGGAGGGCGGACTTCCACCACACCGATCGGGAATGCGTCGGTGGACACCGCATTCGATCAGGTCGCACACCACAGGCAAGCCGGCGTGTCGCTCTGCGAAATTCTGCATTGGAATGTGGAAGGGCTTACCCTGGGGCTCCACTTGGATGTCGGCTAGCCTCAGGCCTCCCTCAACCCCTCCCTCCCTCAGTCAGTACATCAGGGAACTGGCTGATAGCCAGGGCCTGACGGTCATCGGCCACATTGGGGTCCCCCCCCCCGCCATCTTTGATGGACGAAGCCTCGTCTGGGCGGAGTCACCCTGGTGGCTCGTCAACCTCGTTAAGGCTGTCTGGCGCTGGGGCCTCAACCCTTGGCTGCTCCAGAGGTCTGCCGGGAGGGGCAAGGGAAGGGAACCTTGGCCTGTGCGGTTACCACGGAGCAGCGCTGGGGAGTGAGACTACCCCTCAGATATTTCCCTCGAGCACAAACCTTCCAGTCCAATTTTCCCTCTCGTCCCTCCAGGTATTCCGCCCAGTTCTGGGATCGGTTCAGCGCTGTGTATGAGCTCCAGACGCAGGGCCAGGCGTACGACTCACCTGAGGACCTCCTCAGGGCCGCTGGAGTGTATGATGACTCCCAGGTCACGCTCTTCGAGGCGGTAGAGGTGAGGATTGGGAGATGTATTGGGGAAGATCTCCTACATTTCACCCAGGAGTTGCCAAGTATATAGGACACAGTGAACAGCCGAGGACACCACGACTGGACCCATGCCTGCCTGCCTGCATGGATGGCATGCCCTACCATGCGCCTTCTCAACGCGCACGGCCTGAACCCGCAGGCTGCCCTGGGGGAGGGCGGGTGGGGCACCGATCTCTTCAAGACGGAAGTGGTGGGAGCCATCACGCGCGCCGCCTACGGCCAAACCAGCCTGCAGTTGAACGCGCTGTCTGGTGCTGCGGCGCTCCTGGCAGTCACAGGTGAGGGCTGCGGGCGACGTGATCACACAACTGGGTGCAGTGGGGTTCCCGCGGCACGTGCTTGCTGGCCTCTTGTTGCGGCGTCACCTGCCTACCCAGGCAGGGAGATGACTCATACCAGCCGAGTCACTCCCATGCCGGTCTGCCGTCTCCCCCTGCCCACCCCCTCCCCACCCCCCCTGCAGATCCCGGGGGTTTCAGCATCGAGGGCGGCTTCCCCGGCCTGGCGTCGGCGCTGCTGGACTCCGCCAATGCCAGCCTGCATCTGGGCGCCGAGGTGCGGAGCATCGCACGGAGCCCCGGCTCGGACCGGCTGCAGCTCGCCTGGGCGGACGCGGCGGCCGGCGGGGGCGCTGCCATCGCCGCCCAGAGCGGCGACTTCGATGGCATCATCCTGGCTGCCCCCCTGGAGGGCAGCCAGCTGGACCTGGCGGGCGTGCCCGACCTCGCGCCGCGCTTTCCTCGCTCCTTTGTCCCCACCGTAACCACCCTGGTCAGGGGGAGGGTGCGTGCGTCCTACTTTGGACAGCCGGCAGCCACGCAGCTGCAGTACGGTGCGCGCTCGGGGGGTGCAGAGGCTCTGGGACACACCCTGGAAAATGATGGGATGAGCATGGGGGCCTTTCCACTGCGCCCGAGGCATGGTGCACTGAGATCCAAGCCTCTAGGCGCTCGCACTCGACACCTTTTGAGTGGCAAGCTCGAGCTGGCCGCCCCCGAGATCCCTGGGTCTCATGCCGCCCATTCCAACTCGGCAGGCCGTGTGCTGGTGACGGCAGACTCCCCCGTCCCCTTTTCGTCCCTGGCCAAGGTCCAGCTGGCCCCAGGCCAGCCCAGCCTGTGGCGGCTGACGAGCCCGAAAACCCTCTCCCACGCCTGGCTCAGCATCGTGTTTGAGGCTGGGTGGCAAGTGGCCGATGCCACGACCTGGGCAGCCTACCCCAGGTGGGGCGCACCGGGGGCATACGGGATGGAGGGGATTGCACCTGCTGCGGGTGTTCCGATGGACCGCCACACATGATTCCATGCCATGGAACCGGCGCAAGCCGTCCTCCACCGCCGCCCTGTGCAGGAGCGATCCGCCGGAGGACTTCAGTCCCTTCCTGCTGGCTCGGGGCCTGTGGTATAATAATGCGCTGGAAAGTGTGGCAGGCAGTCTCGAGGCCGCTGCAATGTCCGCGCTCAACACGGCCCTGCTCGTGAAGCGAGATGTGAAGGCCCGTTTGGATGGGACCTGACTCCCCCTGGTCCCACCCTATAGGGTAATGTTAATTTCTAGGGCGGAGCTTGAAGGCTGTCAGCCAGCACCCCCGGTGTAATGCTTTATCAACAGCAGTAAGCAAAGGTGCTAAGCGTGCAGCAGTTCCCTCTTAAGATTCAGACAAGTTAGGGTCTGAGGATGCAGCTTCACAACGCGCATCCCCCTGAGCACTGGAGACTCATGGACTAGCTCGTCCCTCACCCTCTCCCTCCCAGATCAAATCTGGTGCATTTATGACCTTGCTTGAGTTGTTTTCCGGTGCCACACGCTGCATGCACTCGTGCAATGTTCTTATTCCCGGACAACACAAAACAAGCCAACCCGTGAAAGCCCACGTCAACGCACGAAATCCGCATTCCAGCGCAACATCTTGAGCAGATACTGAATTGATGATGGGACGAATGAACTTGATCATTGCCACCCCGCAAGTCCCGCCATGCCTTGCCGAGCGATGTTGGTTTCCAGTGCCCAGTCTGGTTGACACTCCCTTCCGTGCCCGCCCAGCACGCTGTCGCGAGAGACGTGAGTGGACTCGGCAGGCGGACAGCCGGCGTTTGGCTCTACGTTAGCTGACAGGGCTCACCCAGAGCTCATAGTAGTTATATTTCGATTTTTTATGAGACGATAGGGAAAGACCGCGTGCCCTTCCCCCTCTCTTGTCATGCTGGGGCAAGCCCGATGGCCAGAGGAAACGAGCCAGCCGAAGGGCTTTTGGCTGCCGCGCGCCTCGGCTTGACTGATAAACTAAAGCTAGCCCTCGATCAGGCCTCCTGCGATGTGGTGAACGCCAAAGATGAGACAGGTGGGCATGCTGTGCAGGGGGCCCCTCCCGGCTCGCGGTGGTCCGAGTGCCGCGGTCGGAGCGTCGTCAGCCGTTCGCCCCATCATTGTTATTCGAGGACGGGACTCGCGGCTTCAGGAGGGAACCGAGAACCCGCTCGCCCTCGCGACCCCACCCCCCCCACCCAAACCCACCGCTCCCTCCCTCCCGGTCCAGGTCGCACCGCCCTACACCACGCCGCCTCCTGCGGCTACGAGGACTGCGTGGAGCTCCTGCTGGAGCGTGGAGCGGATGGCAGCATCCAGGACGAGGCCGGGGACACCCCCCTGCACCTCGCCGCCCAGGTGGGGTGCGATGCGGTGTTGGGCTCAGGGGGGGAACTCGTGCCCTGCTGCTGGGGCGCGGGTCTCCGTCGTCAGGCTTTCTACCAAACCAGTGCGCTCAGAGGCCCGCAGGGCACACCCCTCCCCATCCTGACCACCCCACATCAGATGTCAGCCCCTCGCGCCCCCACCCCCCCACCCCTCCCTTTCCTCCTCTGCACCCCCAGGCCGGTCTGCCCATGCCCAGCTACCAGGTGTGCTCCAAGTTTCCGGCCGCATGCTTGGCCCCCGACGCGTCGGGCCGGACGCCCGTGGACCTGGCGGTGGCCAGTTCTCGCGGCGAGGTCCTGAACGCCATGCTCCTGGCCTGCTCCGGGTCGGGGTCGGAGGCGGCGCTGGCCTCCATGCGCGCGCTGCTGGCGCGCGGCGCGGTCTGCGACACCTGGGCCCCCTCCGGCTCCTCCGCCCTCATGCTCGTCGCCTCCGCCGACTCCCGCCCCGGGGTCGAGCTCCTCCTGGCCCACGGCGCCACCATGGAGCTGCAGGACGCGCTGGGCCGCACCGCGCTCATGTTCGCGGCGGGCAACGGCGCGCGTGGCGCGCTGGGCGCGCTGCTGGCCGCCGGCGCCAGCCTCTCTGTCCGCGACCGGCGCGGGCGCAACGTGTTGGACTACGCCGGCGCGGGCACGCCCGTGCGCGCGGCGCTTGAGGAACGCCTGCGGGAGCTGGAGACCAAGTCGGCCGCGCTGCAGGAGGCGCTGCTGGCCGAGGTGCTGGGCGAGGGCGTGCGGGCGGGAGGTGTCCAGGCGGCGGCGCCTGGCGCGGGAAAGAAGGCCAAGAAGAAAGCCAAGAAGAAGGGCAAGGGAGGGGTCCCGGGGGCAAAGGCTGCCGCCGCTGGGCCCGCGGTGGACGGCGATGCCGAAGAGGCAGAGGAGGCGGTGGTGGAGGCCTGCGCGGCACGGGAGGGCCCGGCGGAGACCGGCGCTGCAGGGGACAGCGGCGCGGCGGGGGACGCAGGCACAGCAGGAGAGCAGGCGGGGGCGCCGGCGGGGGAACCCCTCGTGACATGCGAGCCCGCGCCGCCGATTCTCGCTTGCCCTCGCTCGCCTCGCTCGCCTCGCTCGCGCAGCCCTGGCTGGTGCACGGTGACCAAGGCCGCGGGGCCCAAGGCGGCGCAGCATGCCCAGCAGGGCTCCGGCGCGGCGGTCGGGGGCCACGCGGGCGCGCGGCGCGCCGGCGGCGCCGCCGCGACACTCGCCGTCCCCATGACAGCGGCTGCCGAGCGCGGGCGCAGCGCGGCCAAGCCGGCCCCGCGCGGCCCTTCCCCGCCGTCGG